CCGTGAAGCCTGCAACTCCACCTCCTCCGAAGGGCGGAAGTGGCTTTCTCCCAAATGAGTGTAGCTGCAAGGCAGCAGAGATTGAGGACCAGAGTTTTCCTCCTCCTAGGCGGGCTATCTTTCCAGGTGGATGAGCCCCACCTGCCCCTCAACCCTTCAACAGCTCATGCAGAAACCACCTTCTTGAGACCCAGTAGTGGTCTCTCATCTACTCAATCTGCTAGAGTTTGTCCTTGCATGCAGGGCATGTACCTAACTCACCAAGGGTTGGAGACCCATTGGCTATCCTCACCTGGTTTACCTGGCCAGACAAAGCCAGGGGTGTGGCTGCTGTCACGTACTGATGTACTGACACCTTGAGAGCCAGTGTGGTGTAGTGGTTAAGAGCGGTAGATTTGTAATCTGGTGAACTGGGTTTGATTCCCCACTCTTCTATATGCAGCTGCTGGGTGACCTTGGGCTAGTCACACTTCTCTGAAGTTTCTCAGCCTCACTCACCTCACAGAGTGTTTCTTGTGGGGAAGGAAGGGAAAGGAGAATGTTAGCCGCTTTGAGACTCCTTCCGGTAGTGATAAAGCGGGATATCAGATCCAAACTCTTCTTCTTCTTCTTCTGTCCCCACCAGAGATACTGACCCCAGTTGACTCCTCACAAAGCTACAATTCCCAACATCCTTAATGAACCATTGGGGAACATTTCCCTAATATTCATTGTGGCTGCAAGATGCTAGAAGAGGAGGTTTAATGCTTCCTTCCCCAGAGATCCCAACACAAATCTCCCCCTCATGGTGCACTGAGCCTTGGGGTAGGGGGAGCCCCCATGGGAGAGTGCAAAACAAGTGGCTTATGTTCCTTTGATTCCACTTGCAACTGTGTGCTTGAAGAGGGCAACGGGCATTGACAGATGATGAAACATGAATACAATAAAGGTGGCAATAGACGTTTTACAGCGGCAATAAAAGCGGAACTGGCCTCTGAAGCGAATCTCTGGTGTCACGGTGTCCTTTTCATGACACCAGATGGGTTGGCCCTACCATGAGGCAGAGTGAGGCAATCGCCTCAGGCGGCAGATGTTGGAGGTCAGCTGCAGACATTTTCTCTGAGACTCCCTCCAACCATTCCCCTCTGTTGGAGAATGCATACCTTTCATATACAGTGGACGCTCGGGTTGTGATCCGTGCGAGATGCACGTTCGCTACCCGCAGCATTCGCAACCTGCATCTGTGCAAGTGCAGGTTGCGATTCGGTGTTTCTGTGCATGTGCAAAGCACGATTTAGCACTTCTGCGCATGCGTGACTGCCGAAACCTGGAAGTAACCCATGCCGGTACTTCCAGGTTTTGGCGGTCCGCAACCCGAAAAAACGCAACCTGAAGCGTCTGTAACCCGAGGTATGACTGTATCTCCTAAATTAGCCTTCTGCGCTCAGGGGCCTGGAGGAACGTTATCCTGTTATCAGTGTTGAAGAAAGATTTGATTCTCAATCCACTTAGCTTCTGTACATGGTATGAAGGGGACACCAACTTCTGCTTTGTCTCAGGCAGCAAAATTCCTTGAGCTGGCTCTAGACTCTGGCTGTTTTTAAGGATGAAGGAAGTTGAAAACATCTCCTGTGTTTTGCTCCCCCTCCCTTCTCAATCAGTGAACAAGTCAATAAATTGCATTTGAAAATTATGAAAGAGGAGAGAACATTTCAGTGACGATGGAGCAAGCTTGTTTTCTTCTGCTCCAAAGGGTAGGACCTGAACCAACGTGAAATATACTCGGAGTCGAGAGTGGATTTCATGCTCTTTATTCAGCTCATAGTAGTGAGGAGGAATGGATGTTCCCCCACAATATCTGCTTTATATACATTATTTACACAATGGGCTGCACGTGATTGGCTAATTCCGGGATTCTCCTGTAGGCCAATCAGGTTGTGGATTCACTTCCACCTGGAGCTGGATTGGGTGGCTCCTGTGGACCAATCATACTGCTGCATTGTTCTAGGACCAATCAGACTGCTGCATTCTGAATCCTATTGTTCTAGGACCAATCAGACTGCTGCCTTTTGGATCCTATTCAACTCAGTACATAACACAACAGCTTCAAGTTATAAGAAAGGAGATTCCAAGGAAACATCAGGAAGAGCTTTCTGACAGGAAGAGCTGTTCGACAGAGGAATGGACTCCCTCAAGAGGTGGTAGACTCTCCTTTCTTGGAGGTTTTTAAGAAGAAATTGGATGGCCATCTGACATGTATGACCTAGTTGAGATTCCTGCATTGTAGGGGCTGACCTACATGACCCTTGAGGTTCTTTCCAACTCTACAGTTCTGTGATTCCCTGATTCTATGCTCATGTGCTTGCTTTACTTCTGAGGTGTCTGAAGGCTGTTTGTAAATATCTTTTTGTTCATTCTGCAAAGCATCTCACGAGTGATTTGCACTCTTATGCCCTTCCCAGGTGCTCACCCTTCAATTAAATCCTTGGGGAAGGCGTCCAAAGCAAACTTCTCCCCTGGATGTCTCCCCACCCAGATCAGGAAGTGTCGGCAGCCAGGAAGGCTGCAGAGTCCCAGAGAAATATTTAATGGAAAGGAAAACGAATGATAAAGTAAACTCAAAATCCTGCACCCAAAGCAATTCTCAAGTGCCCCAAGAATGATGCACATGAAAAAACGGAAGCCTCTTTCAGAAAGAGAGAGAAAGAAATTGGAGGAAGGATTTTGGCCAAACATTAGATGGAAGAAGTACTGGTCTCCATGTGACTAGTTAAGGTCCAGAAGACTAGAGTATGGGAGAAACTTAATTTTGGTGAACCCCTTGGAGCAGGACTTGTGGACTCAGGAAGGTTTGGAGAGGTACTCAGTGCAAGCTGATTGTATTGAAATGGGAACCTGGCAGAATAGTGTTGGTTTGTTTTTTTAATAGTCCTTTATCCTAGGTCTTTAATGGTAGGTTGATCTGCAAATACTAGCAGGTGGCTATCTATCCTAACCTCTGTGGGCCATTTTGACAGGTAGGTGAGTTAGAATGAGTTAGACATACTCCTTAATAATCAGCTCTGTGTATTCATATATAATAATAATATATTATTTATACCCCGCCCATCTGGCTGGGTTTCCCCAGCCACTCTGGGCAGCTTTCAACTGAATCTTAAAAACAGTACAGCATCAAACGTTAAAAACTTCTCTAAACAGGGCCGCCTTCAATTGTCTTTTAAAAGTGAAATAGTTGCTTATTGCCTTGACATCTGCTGGGAGGGTGTTCCACAGGGCAGGTGCCACTACTGAGAAATTGGCAATCTTTGCCTGTGTTAGGCACCTGGCTTTACAGTATATTTCAGTGTCTGCAAACTAGTTAGGAAGGACGCCTCCAAAGGGCTTCTTCTAAAAGAGCCGTTCTGCTGAAAGAAGCCAAGATGGTTTTGCCTTGTTGCAATAGTGCAACGTCACTGCTCTGTACAAAACCGTAGCTTAGGATGTTCCATTGCTGAAAGTGTCACGGCACCAGAACTTCTCTCCTTTTCTTGCACTGTAGAGCAATGAACCTGGATGAAAAAACCAGCTTTGTTTTGCTTTGCTTTTGCAGTTCAGTGCCTTAGGAGTGAATCAGTTTCCACCTAATTGCTTTGATATGGAAGATCTGTTTCTATGATGCTGCCCAGCACATGATTTCCACCAGAAGGGAAACCACAGGTGACAGCTCAGACTGCAGAAAAGAGAATGAGGAACTTCTAAGACGGAACAGCAAGTTCCTAATCTTTCCAGTGGCTTCTGATGCCCCCCAAAAGAGAATAGGAAACTGCCACAACTTGTGAACTTTGTCTATGGTTTTATTTGGCACACAGGAAACACCCTCGCTCTCTCCTTTAAGGCACATTTATTACAATAGCTGCAATAATCCGGAAAACTATAAACATAGCAGTTCAAATTGCATGACCTTTATCCTCTGTTGCTCAGGGATCCCCTTGTTTACTGCCCGACTTTTTCCTAACTATAGTTTGCGAAGATAAACACAGTAGCAAACCATGGTTAGCACCAAGCCTTCGAACCATGGCTTGAAGCAACTTTGCAAACCATGGTTTGGAGGCAAGGCGCTAGTCAGCCCTGGTGTCCACATCTCAATACGGGGCTCACTGCCAATATTGAAATTATAATAGTTTCATCCTTGCTATATGGTATATAATAGTTTTAATTGAATCATGTTATACAAAATGCTCCATATTCTTCTTTGCAGTGCCCCTGAAGAAGAGGCATATTTTCAAATGTGTTAGACCAATAAAACCTTCAGATTTCACCCCTCCCATTTCTCCCTATTATGGTTGCTTTCTCTCCTTCTGTTTCTCCACTGGCAAAACACCGGCCAATTAGTGGCAGGAAGCATGCACAGAGTCAGGCCATTGGTCTAACTAGATCAGTATTGACTGGAAGTTCTCCAGGTTTTTTTTTGTTTGTTAAGACTGGGGTCTCACCCAGCCCCTACCTGGAAATGGCAGGGACTGAACTTGGGAACCTGTGGTCTTCAAGATACTGGATTCCAACTCCCACCAACAGATTACCGTATTTTTCGCCCCATAGGGCGCACCGGCCCATAAGACGCACCTAGTTTTTTTGGGGGGAAATAAAGGGGGGAAAATTATTTCCCCCCCCCAGGCACGGGGCTGGGGCAGGGGATGCCCGATCTTCGGCCGACCCCAGCCCCCAGAACAGGCTGCTATCCGCAAGCCTAGGGAGCCCAGCGGGAAGTCGCGCCGGTCTCCCCAGGTTTGCGGATATCTGTTCCCCGAGCTTGTGGGGCTGGCAGTGGGGAGAAGCGCGCTTCTCCCCACTGCCAGCCTCCAAACCAGGTCGGGGAATAGTGGGATGGTGGCGCTCCGCCTCCCCGCTGTCCCCCGAGCTTGTGGGGCTGCCCGATATCTGCACGAAGCCCTGGGCACGCTGTGCAGCACGCCCCAGGCTTTGGGATGCAGGCTGCTATCCGCAAGCCTTGGGAGCCCGACGGGAACGCCCTAGGAGCTCCGAAGGCTTGCGGATAGCTTCCTGAAGCCTGGAGAGCGAGAGGGGTCAGTGCGCACCGATGCCTCTCGCTCTCCAGGCTTCAGCAAAAGCCTGCATTCGCCCCATAGGACGCACACACATTTCCCCTTCATTTTCGGAGGGGAAAAAGTGCGTCCTATAGGGCGAAAAATACGGTAGTTTTGCCTTACCTGTCCAGTGATCTGGAGTATGCTGTTTCAGTTTGCAAATTAAAAACCCACCAGTCAACCATGGGGATTCCAGCAAGGTGATACAGACTATGCAAGTATGGTTAGCCCACATCTCTTCTGTTACCTGTAACACTCCCATTGCATATAATTAATACAAAAATACTCTCCCCAAACATGCACCTCTCCCACTGCTTGCTTTGTCCTCTCAATTAGATGTCCTCTTGATTGAATATCATCTAATCTAGAAATCACCAAAGCCTCTTTTCTCAGGAGCCATTCTGTTCCTGAAAATGGTCTGGGTCTTCAATATGTCTCTTTTTCATATGAACTGGCCCCTATATGAGTGCTCAGTCTCCACAATAAAGCTGGTGCCCTCCAGCACTAAAGCCCTGTGAATGTAACTTGCATACAATATTGCATTGTGACACACAATAACGTTTTCCTCCTATTCCTTACAAGTGACACTATATAGCATTGTTTAAAAAACCACACTGTGATTATATATATATATATATATACACACACACACATATATATGTATGTTGGTTGTATCAGCTAATATTGCTTCAGAAGACTGGCTCCAGCCAGTGAACCTGCAGTTGGCCACCACAGATCTCAGCCCTCATTCGTTCCATCAATGTCACACCCCTTTCCAAACAAACAGGATATTCTGCTCACTTCTGACTGGCATACGGAGAGAATTCCGAGACTTGCTGATCTGAGTGAAGTTATTTGCGACTTAAAATGGACAAAGAGCTCCACCAACAGCTTTGTTTTCCTTCTGAGCTGTTTATCTTCCTTGGGAAGTCCAGACACCACTGCGGACAGGAAGAGGCACGAGGCTTAGCCTGTCACACGTCGCAGGTGGACTTGGCGTTTTGTCCATCGTTTCTCGACAAGTAATAGGCCCGGTTGGCTTCTGGGTAGGAGACTTTGGAGAGTGGAAGTTTGTAGATGGCATCGTTGGTGGTAGTTAAGAGCAGGAAAGTGAGCGAAGATAAACAGAAAGGCCATGTTCCCAAAGGCATTCCAAACTGAAGGAGAAGAGAGGTTCAGAAATAGGGATCAGTCATTGCTTCTTTATTCCAGATTCCTAAGTGCGTAAACTTGGTACCCATTGCGTCTAGAAGAGACTAACCCAATGTCCAATCTCCTTTTTGGACCTGAATCTAGATGCAGAACCCCATGGGCTGTAACATCCCCAACTTGTTTTGCTCCTTGTTTGTTCACTCCATCTGCCCACTTCCCCTTGTTGCTTTGTCAAACACAACCTTCCTCTAACATGGTACTTGGAGGAACTCAAACTCCTGTGTTCAGGGATTATGGAAGCTCCTGTCCAGTCACAACTGAGGTTGGGAAAGGCCATTGCAGTATCTGGCCAAAGAAGAGTTCTGTAGAACTCTACAGCTTGCTCAGTAGTTCGTGACATTTTGTTTGGTCCCCAAAAAGGATATTAGCCAATAGCAGATTTTGGAAGTACCGTATATTTTGCTCTATAAGACTCACTTTTTCCCGGGACTTCCGGGTTAGCGCCATCGGCAATGGCGGAGTTCCTCTGACCGAGAGGAACCCGCTCCATGAAAATCGGGTCTTGCCGCCGCGGCGAAGGCGGAGACCCCTCAAAATCCCAGGCGGAGGAAGCCTGGGAATGTGGGATTCGGCTGACACCAAGAGCGCCTCCCCTACTCGCAGGGAAACCCTTTTTCGGGGATCCGAAGCGAAGTGGGGTGAGTGGTGCGGTGTTTTGAATCGACCGCTACTTTTACGGAGTGAAGCCGCACAGCCGTTGCCGGAGAGCGCTGACTTTTTCCTGTGGACAATTGGACTCTAAACAAGTACCCCTGAGTAGAACGGAAAATTGGACTACGAAACATTTTAATTTGGCACCGAAGCGGGAAGGTTCTAAACAGGAAGTCCGCCTTCCGCTTTTGTAAATAGATTGAAGCAAAAATTTTGCAAGCTAAAGTCTGGAAAGTTGTATATAAAGGACTAAATTTCCTTCAGTTAAAACCACCAAAACCCCTCTTGGAAGCAGGAGAAGAGGGGGGGAATCTTGGATTGTTTAAGCCTGCAAGAGAGAGAGTAAAGAAAGATAAATTTCCACCATCTCAAACCTGGGAACGGGGTGTCAGAGACAGAAATTTTTGGGGAAGTTCATTGACTGTGAATGGAACGTCTTTTGACAGATAGTTAAAAAAGAGAAACATATTGATCCCAATGTTGCCTTTTGCATCCAAAAGAAACAAAATATTTGAAAAATGAAAGTAATTTTCTTTTGTTGGACCTGCTTTCAAAAGATGGATACAAATTGAAATTGTCTCCTCTAGAGGGAGCTTGTTAAACTGTTGCTGGGGTCGATCTGGGGAATTTCACAGCTGTGGAGATTAAGGATCGTGAGACCAGACTCTGACCTTGGATAAGAATGTGTTTAGAAGAAGTTTTGGTGCTTGCTCTCTGCAAGACAAGCGCTTTGTTGGAGCAGCTGCATGAGAAGATGGATTTGATGACTGTTGCAGTCAATAATTTTGGACAAACAGTGAATACTCACATAGAAACCATTCAGGAACCAACCCAGGAATCTGTTTTGACAGGGCAAGTGCAAGTGCAGAAGATAATGGAGGAGGTTGTTGTTGAACCTCAAGTAACACAAATGGAGAGACCCGAGGCCCTGCAGGAGCATAAGCTGCTGTTTTTGAAGACTGAACCTGGAGAAAGTCAGATTTGGAGAGAGGGAGTATTGTTTGGCTTGGAGATGGGAAGTTGGTTGGATCCCCCTAGGCAGGGACGTTTTGGCTTTTGGGATTTGGTTTTGGGCCAGGGGGGGTCTGGAGTTGTGGGGGCTCTTAACTTTGGAGGGACTTTGAAACATGCTTTTAAATACTTTCTGGATTACAGTGCTGAATGTGGAGAATGGGCTGACCTGTCGAGGGGGGACGGAGATATTGTTGGGTTGGAGTCTCCCCGAGACCTACTCCTCAATGAGAAAGGAAAGAAATTAAGAAAAAGATCAACAAAAGACAAAGTAAAGTGCAGGTATAAACAAGAAGAAGATCTGCAGAAGGGACATGGAAAAGACTTAAGAGCCTCGGACACAAGATCACCAGGTTGATGGACTAGATGGAATGGATAGAAAGGAAAGACTTAACCCGAGACCAGGAAGAAGAGACGTTGGATGAAGATTGGAAGAAAGTTTTTAAAAATTTATTTTGAGAATTAATGTAAAATTAATGAGTGTTAGGAAAAATGTTGGAATGAAACTATTTGGCTTTAGTAGAAATGATATAAGGAGTTATGTACAAATAAGTATTAAGTTTTAAGTTTTAAGGCTTTTTGTGGTAAGATAAGGTTAAAATAAATTAAGGTAAATTTAATGACAGAATATAGTGAAAGATGGAAAGGATTTGCTGAGTTAATTAATAGGTTAGACCGTCATACAACAAAAATTGAGAAAGATGGAAAGAATTTGCTGAAACAATTAATTAAACTAGAATACAAAAAGGGAGGTGTGAGGAGGTCGATGAAACAAGTAAATGAAAGATAATGATATGGAATATTGGATGTGTGTTTTAATGTTATTGTTCTTTTTTGCTGTATTGTTGTATTGTTTTTTATGTTTTTTCTTTTTATATATTGTAATGTAATTTTTTGTTGTTTTCTTTTCTTCTTTTTTCTGTAATTTTTAAACTTCTAATAAATATCCTTTTTTAAAAAAAAGACTCACTTTTTCCCTCCTAAAAAGTAGGGGGAAATGTGTGTGCGTCTTATGGAGCGAATGCAGGCTGCACACCTATCCCAGAAGCCAGAACAGCAAGAGGGATTGCTGCTTTCACTGCACAGCGATCCCTCTTGCTGTTCTGGCTTCTGAGATTCAGAATATTTTTTTTCTTGTTTTCCTCCTCCAAAAACTAGGTGCATCTTGTGGTCTGGTGCGTCTTATAGAGCGAAAAATACGGTACTTATTATGGACCAGGGGCCTATGCTTTTTAAGCATCTTAGGTTGGTTTGTTCATTTGCTCTGGCTCTGAACAGGCAACAGGTATTCAAAGTGAAAAGACAACACGATAAAGTAAAGAACAGAGGATTTTCTCCATTACATCTCTTTACTATTCTGTGGTCTCCTCTCATTTCTTTTCATTTCATTTCATTTCATTTCATTTCATTTCATTTCATTTCAGGGGTTTGTTCAGTTGTTGGGGAAACCCCAAAATGAAACAGTGGGGTTATGTAGGTGGCATGGAACAATGTATGCCATCACGCATAACATTTGTTTGCCTGTAACTGTTTTAAAAGGTGTATTGAGTTTGACTTTTAATGATGATGACCTTATGTATGTGTGTTCTGGACAGTGGATTCCAATTTCATTTGTATACTGGCTGTAAAAACCTTTTGATCCAGCAGTTTACACATTTTCTAAATAATGAATAATTGCAAGAAGACAGGAGTGCTGTAGAATAGCAGCTTTACTTTTTTTTATTCCCCTTTTAAATCTCCCAGAGTCAGGAGCCAAGACCAACAAGCTCCTTTTTGTGTGCTTCCATTTTTTTTAAGGTGTGTGTGTGGGGGGGGGGGGATTGCAGCCATCTCCCTGCTGCTTACCCTCCCAGCACTCTTAAGGGGATAGTGACCTTATCACTAAGAAAGCGACTCTGAACACTTAATGATGAATTCAACCCCTTAAAGCCTGCAAAACTCACCACGGAAAACATATGGCCCAGTGCTCCTCCTGAGTAGGCAGTAAACAGAGCTGGAAAAAAAGAGAGAGGCATGGGTGGGGGGAGACGAGACAAAGGGGAAGTTAATTAGACTAGTCTATATGGCAGATTCTGAAGTGGTAATATCCAAAGGCAACTCGATGACCAGGTACAACAATGCGATGTCAATATAAACTCTTTATATAACCTATACAGAACATTGAACAATATGAAATATATGAAATATGCACTCTCTGCAAAACCAAATAAACAGAAATCTTCTAAATCCCCCAAAGTCACAAAATATGCACTCTTGATGGATTCTCTTGAAAACATAGAACCAAATAAACCAAATAAACATAAGTCTTATAGGTCTCTGAAAGTCTTAGTTCTGGCTCGGGGGGCATGGCCTGCCCTATTTAATGGAGGCGCGGCCGGGGATCTCCCTCTTTTGCCGCCTCCAGCTGCTCCTGTTTCCCACCCTCCCACCCTCTAAGGTTTTCGTTCCTTGACCTTGCTATGGACCTTGGTTGGTCACCGTTGAGGGGCCTGGTAGGAATTTTTCCACTTGGCAAATTGGCACCAGCCACTTGGTTTTTGCCTACCTCGTAGCAAATCGTCACAACTTTCTTGGTATTGGCGGTTAGGCATTGGCATGGTTCTGTAGATGGAAGAGTGGAGGAAGCGCCATCACCTGCCCCGCATATTGAAGGGGAGTCCGCTAAAGGATTCCGGGGGGCGTGGCCCTGTCCGAAGCCTAGGGAGGTGAGGGCCTAAGGTACACCCCCAATCAGTGACCCTGGGGAAGTTCCTAGTTGATGTGCATCAGCAGGACTCCCCGACTGGTGGTTAACCCTTCCCGGACTTCAAGCGGACGGGCTGAAGTCGGATATAGTCGGTTAGGACCAATGCCTAAGCCAATACCGCTCATACCTGTAATCAATAAAGTTGTGGCCTTATTTAGCCCATTAACCTTAATAATTGTGTCATGTGTCTTTATTTCCACTGGGTAGGGGGGGCGGGAACTCACTACGCAACTTATTTTTCTATTCCAATGGGACCCCTCTATTTCCCTTTTTTAAAAGTTAAGTAATGCTAACGATGTGAGAATGAGACAGAAGGGGTGGCAGAGGAAATGGGCAGACCCAGCTTCCAAGCTTTAAATTCTGCTATAAACTAAGTCAATGTATATTTTTTAAAACCCAAGAAAAATCCCCAAAGTTCAATCTCTGGCATCTTCAGGAAGCAAGTGATGGGAAATGAGACTCTGGAGAAATGCTACCAATCATAGGAGGCAATACTTGGCAACAGGGACAAATGCTCTGACAGTTTCCTATGGGTTGTGCGAGCACAATAGGGATGAAACTGGGTACCTACCACAAGCAAGTGCAAGAAGGAAGGTCTGCCAGGTGAGGGCGTAGAACATGCCCCCGATTGCAATGCAGGAGAGGCAACTGTTGTAATTCCACAAGCCGGCATAAATATTGTTAAAAGGTGTGGCTAGGCTCAGGGCTGCAAAGAAGACAGGTGAGAAGAAGACAAGTCACTCCTGGGCTGAAGGGAAACATTTGGCCCTCCAGATGTTGCTGAACTAAAATTTGGCCCATCCGATGGGAGATGGTCTCCTGCTACATCTGGAGGGTCAAGTGTTCCCCAGTCTTGATACCTAGGAAATAATAGGAGCGGCTGCCGAGACCATATAACACCGGTCTTGAAAGACCTACACTGGCTCCCAGTACGTTTCCAAGTACAATTCAAAGTGTTGGTGCTGACCTTTAAAGCCCTAAATGGCCTCGGTCCAGTATATCTGAAGGAGAGTCTCCTCCCCCATCGTTCAGCCCGGACACTGAGGTCCAGCTCCGAGGGCCTTCTGGCGGTTCCCTCACTGCGAGAAGCCAAGTTACAGGGAACCCAGCAGAGGGTCTTCTCGGTAGTGGCGCCTGCCCTGTGGAATGCCCTCCCAGCAGATGTCAAAGAGAACAACAACGACCAGACTTTTTGAAGACATCTGAAGGCAGCCCTGTTTAGGGAAGCTTTTAATGTTTAATAGGTTATTGTATTTTAATGTTCTGTTGGAAGCCGCCCAGAGTGGCTGGGGAAACCCAGCCAGATGGGTGGGGTATAAATATTATTATTATTAGGTGATTAGGTCCACACAATCTCTAGAAACCTTCTACCCTAGGATCTCAAGATGGAATTTGACATGCAAGGGTATCTGTGGTCACCGGCCCCCTCATTTGACCAAGAAGGCAAGTTCTTCCCTCTTTAGACCCCAAGCATGGTTCGTTGGTTTTATCTGGCAAGCTAACCAGATACTAACAGTTGTAACCCCAGTTTGGCTGGATATCTATAGGATGGAGTACTTAGGATAATGGTTTAAGCCGGTTCTGGCTGCCTAGGGCATTCGCATACCTGCAGGCACCCCCAGTGCCGAGCCAATCACGGCATGGATGAAGATGAGCGGGGAGGAAATGAACAGAGCCACCATGATAATGCCTCCGGTCCAAGGGTTATCGCAGCCGTACACTTGCCCAACTCCTACTGGGACGGACTGCAAAATCTGTGGAACAGGTATTGGGAAAAGATATATCAGGTTTCAAGGTTGTATGATAATGGTCTTCCATACGAATGCCCCCATATTAATAAGGACCATCAATTGCCCAGAATCCAGTCTCCCACCATAAAGGTAAAGGGGACCCCTGACCATTAGGTCCAGTTGTGGCTGACTCTGGGGTTGCGGCGCTCATCTCGCTTTATTGGCCGAGGGAGCCAGCGTACAGCTTCCGGGTCATGTGGCCAGCATGACTAAGCCGCTTCTGGCGAACCAGAGCAGCACACGGAAACGCCGTTTACCTTCCCGCCGGAGCGGTACCTATTTATCTACTTGCACTTTGTGCTTTTGGTCTGCTAGGTTGGCAGGAGCTGGGACCGAGCAACGGGAGCTCACCCCGTCGCGGGGTTTTGAACCGCCGACCTTCTGATTGGCAAGTCCTAGGCTCTATGGTTTAACCCACAGTGCCACTCGTGTCCCTTATGAAAGCATAGGATAGTGATAAAAGGTACCATTTCTGATGTATATTCTCAGCCTTCAATAGTTTTAAAATCTGGGTGTATTCGATTCCTGGATTATGGCACCAGGAACATGTATCTATGCTTGCAGAGTGCAAGCTTTATTTAGGGCACTCTGTGTATGTGTGTGTGTGTGTGTGTTTAGGTGGGTCCCATAGGCATCTGGTTGGCCATTGTGAGAAATAAATGCTGGACTAGATGGGCCATTGGCCTAATCCAGCAGACATTCTCATTTGTGAGTCTCTTACTGGGGCTCTCAGAAACCAGGCTCTGGCATCTTAAAGCCTCTCTGGACTTATGTTTTAATGCAGATGCATTTTGCAACACAATACTGGCACAATAGTAGTGTATGAGTGATGGGTTTATTCAGCTTGTTATTCTGTTTGATTCTGTGATTTTTTCCCTCATGCTACCACATTATTGCTCTCCTTAGGGAAGGCATAGGTAAACTCTGCCCTCCAGATGTTTTGGGACTACAACTCCCACCATCCCTAGCTAACAGGACCAGTGGTCAGGGATGATGGGAATTGTAGTCTCTAAACATCTGGAGGGCCGAGTTTGCCTATGCCTGCTATAGGGACTACAGCGCAACAAAAGTGGAAAAAAAGCCAGACCAGAACATAGGTTCTGCGATAGGTCAGTCTGTAGAGCATGAGACTATTAATCTCAAGGTCGTGAGTTCAAGCAAAAGTTTCCTGCATTGAAGTGCGTTGGACTAGATGACCCTCCAACTCTACGAATCTGTGATCTTATGAAAAAGGTTATGAGGTTTCAGCAGGACATTACAGGAGATGCTCTGATTGAAAATGAAGCAGTTTGACCGCCCCAGAACTTTTGCAGATATGAAGAGTATTGAAAGAGGGGTCGCATGTGACCGACCCATTAGCATTATGAACACAAATCACCATGAATGAACAATAACCAATGCTCTGTTTACAGGGACGCGGGTGGCGCTGTGGGTTAAACCACAGAGCCTAGGACTTGCCAATCAGAAGGTCGGCGGTTCGAATCCCCGCGACAGGGTGAGCTCCCGTTGCTTGGTCCCTGCTCCTGCCAACCTAGCAGTTCGAAAGCACGTCAAAGTGCAAGTAGATAAATAGGTACCGCTCCAGCGGGAAGGTAAACGGCGTTTCCGTGTGCTGCTCTGGTTCGCCAGAAGCGGCTTAGTCATGCTGGCCACATGACCTGGAAGTTGTACGCCGGCTCCCTCGGCCAATAAAGCGAGATGAGCACCGCAACCCCAGAGTCGTCCGCGACTGGACCTAATGGTCAGGGGTCCCTTTACCTTTACCTTTACCTGTTTCCACAGCTAACTTGGAATATCAAACACTGTTGCTCAAGAGCACCATCTATGCTGCCTTGCTACCTGAGGAACCCAGAAATACTGGCCTCCCCTTGTCAGTCAATCACCCCTCCTGGGTGATGGACACTGTGGCTTCCAGATACTGCTGATCTTCAGCCCCCGTCACCCCTGGCGTTGCTGGGAGTTGGTGTCGAGCAACATCTGGAGCAGGGCTGTCCCAAGATGTTTTGGCACCTGAGGCAGATCACAAAATGTTAAATGTTCGGGAAAAGTCAGAAGCCCAAGGCAGTGTAAGTTCCTCAACTAGGTTTATTCAACAGCTCACTCACAGGAAAACAAGAGCTGAACTGACTGGACAACACAATAATAAACTGAGCATGAACTGACCGTTGACAGTTAATAGTTGAAAATGCATGTGCTTACTTGCCATTAGAACGTTCGACTACCAACGCTTATACGATTGGTTAGAACACACTTTGTAACATGTTGTTGTTTAGTCGTTTAGTAGTGTCCGACTCTTCGTGACCCCATGGACCAGAGCATGCCAGGCACTCCTGTCTTCCACTGCCTCCCGCAGTTTGGTCAAACTCATGCTGGTAGCTTCGAGAACACTGTCCAACCACCTCGTCCTCTGTCGTCCCCTTCTCCTTGTGCCCTCCATCTTTCCCAGCATCAGGGTCTTTTCCAGGGAGTCTTCTCTTCTCCTGAAGTGGCCAAAGTACTGGAGCCTCAGCTTCAGGATCTGTCCTTCCAGTGAGCACTCAGGGCTGATTTCCTTCAGAATGGATAGGTTTGATCTTCTTGCAGTCCATGGGACTCTCAAGAGTCTCCTCCAGCACCATAATTCAAAAGCATCAATTCTTCGGCATCAATTATGCCTTGTAACATAAGATGTGTTAAATACATAACAGTATCAGGAACAAAGGGGAAAGAAGTGATCTGCCACCCCAGTGGAGCCTGCCGCCTGAGGTGGCTGTGTCACCTTGCTTAATCGGTGGGCCAGTCCTGGTCTGGAGGGCTGCAGGTTCCCCATCTCTGTGGTGAGGATTCTGCAAGAACATTCCATTCATTAAATTCCTCCTTCTCCTGAAAGGAATTTCATCCGCCTGCAGGGAGTGGATAGCCAGCCATCAACATGGAGCTCCCATCTTAAGACCTGACACTATCTGCTAACGGGAGGTGAGGGACGCTGTTACTGCTCCCCCTCCAGTTGAATGAAGTTTGCTTCTGTTCCAGGGACATATAAACTGGGCTTTTGTGAGCTGAACTCTCGACCCCTGAGCTGGTATGTGCCCTTCCTTCCTTTCAAACAAGCAGCTAATGTCAGGCAGTGAATGTTATGAATATGAACTGTGATGAGACGGCCGCCGAAACAAAGGCCCCCTTTTAAATGAAATTAAATGCCCGACGCATGAGTCTGCTTCAGCTTGACAGCAGAAAACTCATTACTGCTTTGGCTAAGTCACAGGGGAGCGTTCCACTAAATGACGCTGCTGGCACACGCTTTTTGAAGTCTCTTGCGGAGATAAGAATAAAAAATATTTCTAATAACCTGTTAATCTCTCATAATACGTCTCCCCTCCATGGAAGCTGGAGGTGACTGGTCTCAATGCCAAAAAACCCATTTGCCAACAGAGGCCCCAAGCTGTACTTTTCCACTGAGTTTGTGGGACGCAGCGCTGCTCACGTCAACAGAATCTTGACGGTTTTCAGGAACGCGGCTCCAGAACATACAATTCTGTGCATATCCCAAATATTTCATTACAGCTAACTGAGGGGTTGGGTGTGTGGCCCTGAATCAATATGATCTTGAATCTAACTCTCAGGTTAGAAGACACAACGATGGGGAATGATGGGGGTATGAAGAACACCATTAGGACAATTGGGGTTAAAATCCAGAAGAGCATTTGAAGAAAAAACACGAACGAAAAGACATTTTCCTTCCCTCCCTCCAACGTAATTTTTGGTGGAGAAAACTCTTCTCCACACTATGAGTGGGGTAGAAATTTGATTCTCCTAACTTCACAGATGCCGTACGAGTTATTCACTTACTTGTTTCTTAAAAACTGTTTCTATTAAATATTTTCTTGGTTACAAAAACACATGCGGCATCTCTGCTTTCAGTTCATAGAGTTTTCTACAGATCATTCATATTCAATGTGAGACGCTAATGTTATAGACCATATAAAGTTGGGGGAGAAGAGGAGGAGGGCAGCAAACTTTTGTTCTTCTACATAGTGTAAAAAGGTAAAGGTATCCCTGACCATTAGGTCCAGTCGCGGACGACTCTGGGGTTGCGCGCTCATCTCGCTCTATAGGCCGAGGGAGCCGGTGTTTGTCCGCAGACAGCTTCCAGGTCATGTGGCCAGCATGACTAAGCTGCTTCTGGCGAACCAGAGCAGCGCACGGAAACGCCGCTTACCTTCCCGCCGGAGTGGTACCTATTTATCTACTTGCACTTTGACGTGCTTTCGAACTGCTAGGTGGGCAGGAGCAGGGACCAAACAATGGGAGCTCACCCCATTGCGGGGATTCGAACTGCCGACCATCTGATTGGCAAGCCCTAGGCTCTGTGGTTTAGACCACAGCGCCCCCCGCATCCCCTACATAGTGTACGCATAAGGTTTTTGTTTCAGCATCACATGGGTCGGTCCTATTTTTATTCATTTATTAGTTTTTGTTGGCGGAGAGAGAGATTGGGACACAGGGCATGGTTGGTTGCCTATAGTTGACTATAGCAGTGAGTTTTGTTTGCGTGTGTGAGAATTGTTGGGTCAATTGAGCCATATTGATTCATATGCTGTCGGTGGGTTCCTGTTGTCGTCTTGTTGGGCTGCGTATGTAACAAAGGGGAGCCACACCGGGGCGAAGATGTCCTCTTTTATTCGTCCCCATGCTACTTTCAGTTTGTTGGTTTATTTTTCTAGTAGGGCTGTTTCCCATAAGGTTTGGTAACAGTAGTCCATGTTTACTCCTGACAGGTCCCTTCAGTGTCTGGTTATGATGTTCCTGGCTGCTGAGAGAAGTTGGCTTATGAGTACGTTGTAGTGTGCATGTGAGTTGCTTCTGACCTGCCACAGACAATCTGGAAGGGAATGCGGACCTCAGGCTACCTTGACACATAAATTCAATCCTCCTCCCCACATCTACAGAACCGCCTCTCCTGGTATGCCCCGTGGAGGACCTTAAGGTCCACAAATGACAATATTTTGGAGGTCCCAGGTCTCAAGGTGGTTAGATTGGTCTCAACTAGGGCCAGGGCCTTTTCAGTACTGGCCCCGATTTGGTGGAACGCTCTGTCACGAGACTAGGGCCCTGCGGGACTTGACATCTTTCCGCAGGGCCTGCAAGACAGAGCTGTTCCGCCTGGCCTTTGGTTTGGACTCAGTTTGACTCTTATGTTTTCCCTCCCCTTATGGTTTTGATCTATGGGCTACTTTTAAAATGAGGCTGCATTTTAAATTGCATTTTAACCTGTATTTTAAATTGGTCCCCCCCTTATGATTTTACTGCAATTTTACTGGTGTTAGCCGCCCTGAGCCTGGCTCTGGCTGGGGGGGGCAGGGTATAAATAAAATTATTATTATTATTTTATTATTATTATTATTATTATTATTATTATTATTATTATTATCTTGGCAGCTTCACACTTTGAAGGTCTCTTCACGTAATTATTCAATGGGCGACCAACTGAAGCTAAAGTGGTTATAGATAAGGCTAGGTCGATTGCTGAGCTTGGATCTGTTCGCAGGAAGCATGGCGCTGCCCCTTTCCCACCTGATCACATTGGGCTGTTTATTTGACCTTGTGCCAACGAGAGACCAAAGTCTCCGAGATCCAGGGTGTTTGGAAGTTGGAAAGATCACTTGGATTTCATAACGTGTCGATTAGGCCCAATTAGGCAGTTAGGGGAGTTAGTTCGCAGAGCATATAAAAGTCGATTGCCACAATAAAATCTTATGCACAACTTTTCCAGCTGGGTGTTTTTCTATGGCTCTGGGGTTGTCACGTAAACCAAACCCACAAACAGCTGCTTTGTGGGTTAGGGGGCAAAGGAAACTGCTTAAAATCAGCGCAAGGTTTGCTGCTGCTGTTTCCAGTGTGACCCGTACCAGATTAAACCCTGTGGAGGCCTCTAGTCAGCTGACATATCAGGGCCCCCTCTCACAATGAACGAAGAAGGCTAGATTGTAATTTCCCTTCAATATCACACCAATAATATTTTGGTCTGTTGTCGCAGGGCCCCTAAAAGGTGTGGGGCCCAGAGGTCGGTGCCTACTCTGCCTATTTGGTAAACTGGCACTGTTTGTGGCTTACCTAGGCAAATCTGGTGTTGGGCATGGGCCACAGACAACTGCTCACACACAGCATCCACAAATCGAAGAGGGGATCCTGCCTGGGATGTATTTGGTGTTTTTATGTTGTAAACCGCAAATAGAAGGGGGAAGAAATGGAGGCAGTGACAGATTTTACTTTCTTGGGCTCCAAGATCACTGCAGATGGTGACAGCCGACACGAAATTAAAAGATGCCTGCTTCTTGGGAGAAAAGTGATGACAAACCTAGACAGCATCTTAAAATGCAGAGACATCACCTTGCTGACAAAGGTCCGTATAGTTAAAGCTATGGTTTTCCCAGTAGTGATGTATGGAAGTGAGAGCTGGACCATAAAGAAGGCTGATCACTGAAGAATTGATGCTTTTGAATTCTGGTGCTGGAGGAGACTCTTGAGAGTCCCATGGACTGCGAGAAGATCAAACCGATCCATTCTGAAGGAAATCAGCCCTGAGTGCTCACTGGAAGGACAGATCCTGAAGCTGAGGCTCCAATACTTTGGCCACCTCATGAGAAGAGAAGGCTGTCTGGAAAAGAACCTGATGTTGGGAAAGATGGAGGGCACAAGGAGAAGGGGACGACAGAGGACGAGATGGTTGGACAGTGTTCTCGAAGCTACCAGCATGAGTTTGACCAAACTGCGGGGGGCAGTGGAAGACAGGAGTGCCTGGCGTGCTCTGGTCCATGGGGTCATGAACAGTCGGACACGACTAAACGACTAAACAACAACAACAACATGTTGTAAACCACCCTGTGTTCTTTGGTGTTATATAAAATAATAATAATAATAATAATAATAATAATAATAATAATGCCATTAGGCAGAGTGCAGTGACCACCTCAGGCAAACCAAGTATCCTCACTGCTAATAATTCCAAGTTTGCTCCTCAAATCCCCTATGTTTCAGCCACCACATGGGTGGGTGAACAGGAACATTATAAAAAAAACTACTGAAATATTAAGAGCAAGGGGGGGGGGGAGCAGATGGACACCACCAGAGAGGGGATTGCAGAAGCACGGGACCACTACTAAGTAGCAGCATTTAGGCAACACGCCGTAAAATCACCACCCTCAGAGCCATAGGGCCTGAGACGGTTGATATTGGGGGAGGCACTCTTTTACGTACTAGGGCCTCAGTATAGAAGCACTGTGAAACCACAAGCCAGGATGAAACCTCAAATCGTGTAATCAACATATTAAAAACTGTATTTCATATTTGATGCTTATTTATATACATGCAGCCAATTAGGGCCAACGAGGAAGGCATCAAAGTCGAAATGTGTTTGGTTCAAATGTTTACCTCCAGTACAGTTGTTATACATTATTTATTGAGTTATGGTGCTTTCTTAAAAGACTGTCTATTACCTGTTAATCACACAGTTTCACCCACATTTTTTTTTTAAAAAAGAGAATAATTTCCCCTGGATTCACTGTCCAGTGTCCATGACTCAAGGCTTGTTCTCAGCTTGAGGTTTTGCAATTGACTTGCCCCTTGGTGCAGAATCCTATTGTGCTCAGCCCAGTATAGGAGCAACCAGAATGTAAAGGGTAATAGATGCAGGAATCGGGCCCCGCAATCCTTTGTCTGAAAGTGGTTTGTTTCCACCCCCTGTTCCCTCATTCAGAGGGCCCACCCGTATGAATTCCCTTGGCTGAGAGATGCGAGCATTTGAAACTGCCCTTACCAAAGATGCTTCGGCCTCCCACCACGTTATGTTGGGCACCGAGGTCACGGGTTGAATGAGCGTTGAGGGGAAGAAGGGGTTGTGGGGGCCAGTGGCGGCCACGAACATGCTCAGAGCCAGGTTGAAGGGCAGCGTGAAAACCGGCAGGTCCCATTTGCTGAAGACGGAGGCTAAGGCACTCGTGAAAATAGGACTGGAATAGAAAAACAAAAGAGCATCACTGTACACAGAGAGGAAACACAACAGAGCTAAGGGGGACACAGTTTTGCGTTAAAATGTGCTTACGCTAACTTATATGTATAGATTCACAGTTAGTAATATTGCATGGGATTCAGCTAAGAGGTCCTGCCAGCAGTGATTTCCACTTGCACAATGGGATATCCCATGCAATTTTTTTACATGCAGTCATACCTCATGTTACATCTGCTTCATGTTACGTTCTTTCAGGTTATGTCCCGCGGCAGCCCGGAAGTACTGAAAAGGGTTACTTCAGGGTTCCGCCGCTCGCGCATGCACAGACGCGCAAAATGACGTCACGCGCATGCGCAGAAGCAGCGAATCGCAACCAGCACATGCACAGACGTGCCGCTGTGGCTTGCACTCTTTTCATGTTGCGAACGGATCCCCTTCGCAACCAGAGATACCACTGTACATGTTTTTGCAAAGCAGTTTCCATGAATATAATGCATTTTTAATGTTACTTTCATTATTACTGTTGTACCTTGGTTCTCAAGCTTTAGGGAAGCTTTTAATGTTAAATAGACAATTGTATTTTAATATTATGTTGGAAGCTGCCCAGAGTGGCTGGGGAAACCCAGCCAGATGGGCGGGGTATAAATAAATTATTATTATTATTATTATTATTATTATTATTATTATTATTATCTGTTCTGGGACTCTGTTCTATTCCTGAAACCGTTCGAAAACCAAAGCGTAGCTTCCAATTGGCTGCAAGAGCTTCCTGCACTCAAGCAGAATTCATGTCGGCTGTTCAGCTTCTGAAAAACGTTCGCATACCGGAACACTTACTTCCAAGTTTGCGGCATTCGGGAGCCAATTTATTCGGGAGGCAAGGTGTTTGAGAACCAAGGTACCACTGTATATGCATTTTAAAGCACGTTTTAGTGTAGTATATGGATTTGCATCTGTCTCCTGAGAAATCTCTATGTGGGACAAGAAGCTACAGTTAGAACTGGATATGGAACAACTGATTGGTTCAAAATTGGGAAAGGAGTACGGCAAGGCTGTATATTGTCTCCCTGGTTATTTAACTTATATGCAGAATTCATCATGCGAAAGGCTGGGCTGGATGAATCCCAAGCAGGAATTAAGATCGCCGGAAGAAATATCAACAACCTCAGATATGCAGATGACACAACCTTGATGGCAGAAAGTGAGGAGGAATTAAATAACCTTTTAATGAGGGTGAAAGAGGAGAGCGCAAAATATGATCTGAAGCTCAACATCAAAAAAACAAAGATCATGGCCACTGGTCCCATCACCTCCTGGCAAATAGAAGGGGAAGAAATGGAGGCAGTGAGAGATTTTACTTTTTTGGGCTCCAAGATCACTGCAGATGGTGACAGCAGTCACGAAATTAAAAGACGCCTGCTCCTTGGGAGAAAGGCGATGGCAAACCTAGACAGCATCTTAAAAGCAGAGACATCACCTTGCCAACAAAGGTCCGTATAGTTAAAGCCATGGTTTTCCCAGTAGTGATGTATGGAAGTGAGAGCTGGACCATAAAGAAGGCTGATCGCCAAAGAATTGATGCTTTTGAATTATGGTGCTGGAGGAGACTCTTGAGAGTCCCATGGACTGCAAGAAGATCAAACCTATCCATTCTGAAGGAAATCAGCCCTGAGTGCTCACTAGAAGGACAGATTGTGAAGCTGAGGCTCCAATACTTTGGCCACCTCATGAGAAGAGAAGGCTGTCTGGAAAAGACCCTGATGTTGGGAAAGATGGAGGGCACAAGGAGAAGGGGACGACAGAGGACGAGATGGCTGGACAGTGTTCTCAAAGCTACCAGCATGAGTTTGACCAAACTGCGGGAGGCAGTGGAAGACAGGAGTGCCTGGCGTGCTCTGGTCCATGGGGTCACGAAGAGTCGGACACGACTAAACAACTAAACAACAACAACAAAATGGATTTGCACCAGGCCCATTGGCAGACCAACTCTTGCGTTGCAAAGATGTCTGCAAACGTGACATGGAGGCTGACAATATCAACCCAGCCACGCGAGAATCCCTTGCGGACGACCACAGTGCCTGGAGACAAGCAGTCAAGTCGTGCATCCATAGCTGTGACCAGAGGAGGAACGACCACTGGGAGGAGCATAGAGAGACGAAATGCCATGGTGCATCTGCAGCAGCAAAACTGGACCCCTTCATCTGCCCCAGCTGCAACAAAACATGTCTCTCCCATCTCAGTCTCTACAGCCACAGCAGGCGCTGCAACTCTCCAATGGTTTGACTTTAGCCCCGAAGGCGCACTCCTCCATCAACTCCCGAGACAGATGGATGCCAGGAAAAAGTTGACTGCCAATCTGCATTGCAACATTCAGGAAAGCACAAATTTTGCCGGATGGCTGTGTGTCAACCTGCATATTTCCCCCCGGAATGTGTGAATCAGGTAGATTTGCCTTTGAATCGTGTGAATCAGGTAGAGAGCCAGTGTGGTGTAGTGGTTAAGAGCGGTAGTCTCGTAATCTGGTGAACCGGGTTTTCGTCTCCGCTCCTCCACATGCAGCTGCTGGGTGACCTTGGGCTAGTCACACTTCTCTGAAATCTCTCAGCCTCACTCACCTCACAGAGTGTTTGTTGTGGGGGAGGAAGGGAAAGGAGAATGTTAGCCGCTTTGAGACTCCTTAAAGGGAGTGAAAGGCGGGATATCAAATCCAAAACTCTTCTCTTCTTCTTGTTTGTCAACTGAACTGAATTACCCTCCCATCCCTACTCAAAGGAAATTGGGGCAGCTCTCTGTGTGCACAGAGTTGCTTTGGCAAATAGGAGCCTTGAGGAGCTTTGGCTCATACCCAGCGTGTACACAGTTCTTTAAGCATGGGAAAGCACAGAAGCAGAAAACATTTAAATGTCTAATACAGTGGTACCTTGGGTTAAGAACTTAATTCGTTCTGGAGGTCTGTTCTTAACCTGAAACTGTTCTTAACCTGAAGCACTACTTTAGCTAATGGGGCCTTCCGTTGCCGCCGTGCCGCTGGAGCACGATTTCTGTTCTCATCTTGAAGCAAAGTTCTTAACCTGAGGTACTATTTCTGGGTTAGCGGAGTCTGTAACCTGAAGCATCTGTAACCTGAGGTTCTACTGTAATCGTATTGGGAGGGGGAGTTGGCTTCTGTTTATTTTTTATATTTTTACAGAAAGCCTGGAGAAATTGCGAACAAAATTCTACCCAGCTTGCTGCTGCTGCTACAGAAGCCCCAGCAGGCTTCCAAACTGTAGCTATTTTCTGGTGGATTCAACCACGTACCGGCAAATGCAGGTTGCACAATGAAAGTTGTTTAGGAGATCTTGCGAAACAAACCCGCTTCCCCATCCAAATTGGACTGTTTTGTGATAAGGAAAGCAATTAGAAAAATGTGCTGGAAAGTGAAGGTTGACAGTTGCTTGGTGCAACTTTGAGGGCCCCTCCCCCTGAACTTTTTTTTTTTTTTGGCCCCCATGCTTTCTAGGCATATGTTTGCATTTCCCCAGTCCATTTCTGAGCACCCCCCCTTTTTTGCCCCACAGCTTTCTGTAGGAAACCTGCTCTTTCACACTGAATCGGAGCAAAGGGCAATTAGGGTTTTCTGTGGGCTGCCAAGAAAGTGTGTGTGTGTGTGTGTGTGTGTGTGTGTGTGTGTGTATACACACATATATATGTATGTACAGTGGTACCTTGGGTTAAGAACTTAATTCGTTCCGGAGGTCTGTTCTTAACCTGAAACTGTTCTTAACCTGAGGTATCACTTTAGCTAATGGGGCCTCCCACTGCCGCTGCACAATTTCTGTTCTCATCCTGAAGCAAAGTTCTTAACCCGAGGTACTATTTCTGGGTTAGCGGAGTCTGTAACCTGAAGCGTTTTTAACCTGAAGCGTCTGTAACGCGAGGTACCACTGTATAAGTTTTCAGTGAAAAATCTTCAATGAAAGAAAAGAAATATGAAAGATGTGAATAATATGAAAAGAAAGAAAGAAAGAGGGGAAATAACCAACACAATAGAATAGAGTACACAATAGAGGACATAAGTGATGCAATTAATCCAATAAATGTAAAATTATTATTAACAAGACATTACGCTTCTTATGAATGGATTCCAAACATTGTTGCATTTATCCATACGATAAAGGTAAAGGTGAAGGACCCCTGGACAATCAAGTCCAGTCAAAGGCGACTATGGGGTTGTGGCGCTCATCTCGCTTTCAGGGCAAGAAAGCCAGCGTTTGTCCACAGAGAGCTTTCTGGGTCATGTGGCCAGCAAGACTAAACCGCTTCTGGTGCAACAGAACACTGTGATGGAAATCAGAGCGCACGGAAATGCCGTTTACTTTCCCGCTGCAGTGGTACCTATCTACTCTCATTGGTGTGCTTTCAAACTGCTAGGATGGCAGGAGCTGGGACAGAGCAACGGGAGCTCACCCTGTCGCAGGGATTCGAACCGCTGACCTTCTGATCAGCAAGCCCAAGTGGCTCAGTGGTTTAGACCACAGCGCCACCCGCGTCACTTATCCATACACTATCTGCATCTAAAAGAGTGGGTTTTGCAGGGAAAGTGGCAGGGAAGAAAAAAGTGCTTGCACACGGACTGGAAAAGCATGAACCGGTGGCTAGAAAGTGAGGAGGAAATTTGGTGTGGATGAGCCCTTTGTCGAATCTCCCCACAAACAGATCAGAGTGAGTGCTCAGCAGAGAGCAAAAGTGCTCCCCTTTTGGAAACAGATTGGAATGCATTCTCAGTAACTGTTTTTTTTGTCCTCAGAGCCAAAGGGAGAAGTTTTATCACTTTGGCATTTTTGTTTTGCTTTGTTTTGTTTTGGCGTTACTGGCTCATATTTCTCAAAGTGATACACAATACACAATACGCAGCATGGAATGTAACCTTCCTGTTGAATGAATCTCATGCAATAAACTTGTTTCGGTTCAGTGTTCAGTTTATATGAAGGGAGGGAAAATTGTTTTCAAAATGAATGGAAAGAAAGGAACCAGTTAGTGGGAGTTGGTAGAACTATGTCAATGAAAAATCACAAAAGAAGAAAAACAAAAAGGAACTTGAGGTAATTTCTGGTTTAGCAGACACACGGGATATAGTGAAGCACAGTGGTACCTTGGTTTAAGAACAGTCTGGTTTAAGAACGATTCAGTTTACAAACTCCGCAAAACCGGAAATAGTGTCCTGGTTTGAGAACTTTACCTCAGTCTAAGAACGGAATCCAAATGGTGGAAGGGCACTGGTGGCGGGAGGCCTCATTAGGGAAAGCACGCTTCAGTTTAAGAACGGTTTTAGTTTAAGAACGGACTTCCGGAACTGTTTAAGTTTGTAAACGGAGGCACTACTGTAGTTAGAATATGAGACAAGGCCTATAAAACCCAGACTCAATTACCCACTCAGAATGAAACCACATAATACATTAGCTCTGCATGTGTGCCTTTAGGTGAAGGATTTTGTTTTAAGAAACCCACACCAAATATCAACATGAGTGTGTCAGGAGCTCGTCCTACACTCAAGTAGGACCCTGGCAGAGACACATGTCCGACTGGCATGTTCTCTCCCTCCTGGTTGATTGTTCGGGAGCTTCAAAAGCTTTCTTCTGCCCAAACATCACAGCAACCAATGCCAACAGACATCAGCACACTTAGGGATCCGCAGAGTCTTCGCAGCTTGCGTGACAGACCTCAGCAACTCAGCATTTTGGCTAATCTATTTTATTTACACTGCAAGCAAAATGGCTCCCTCTCTCTCTAGCATCAGACAGCAAAGAGAAAAAGAGCAAAGGACAATAGTCCCACTTCACGGAACACAGTAACACAAACATCCTGTCTCAGTCACTTTCCACTCTGTGGAGTCAAAACATACACCGTCATGTGATAGACAACAATCCCATGACTGCAATCACGGAGCAGGAATTCTAACAGAGTGCATTGTCATCTGCTGTTTATGCAAAAACCCATCGCAAGCTTAATGAATGGTATAACAAAAGTTCGGGAGCTGGTCTTCTGGGTCATAGTTGCTTCTCTTAAAGGAGCCGGGTTTTTTTGGCGTCCCTCTGTCTCGAGAGATAATGGAGTGTGCCTCTGGGGGTGAAGTCAAACCGCTGAAGGATTGCAGCACTTGCTGTGATTGCAAAGACTGGTAATTCACAACGGCTACCTCCTGCATTGTTTATTTTTGCTGCATTAGCAGCATCCAAGAGACCTCCCCGGGGCGCGAGCCTAGGCAGCGTGTGTCCTGGGATGCCCAGATGACAAGACCCCCTTCTCAGCCTCACTGATGTGGACCAAAAGAAAGCAGAGCAATATGTTTGGCGCCAATCTGGCTGCAGGAGTTGAGGATGGAGGCATACAAGGAACCACCCACCAGTCTTAGGGGAATCCACTATGGATTTGTGTAAGGCTTACTCCTTAGTACAGTGGAACCTCAGGTTGCGAACGTGATCCATGCAGGAGACTCGTTCGCAACCCGCAGCGCCGTGTCTGCACACGCGCGGGTCGCAATTTGGCGCTTCTGTGCATGCGCAAAGCGCGATTTAGTGCTTCTGTGCATGCGCAAGTGCCGAAACCCGGAAGTAACCCATTCCAGTACTTCTGGGTTCAGCACGGTGCGCAACCCGAAAACGCATAACCTGAAGCGTCTGTAACCCGAGGTACCACTGTATTTTCTTTTCCCGAAGATGTCCCGAAAGGCCAGATATTTAGTTGATCATGCATACATTAGGAGGTGGGAAGAATCTGGATTGGGACCCTGATGGGGGGGTATGATAGCTTTTATGGTTCCAGGAAGGAAGGAAGGAAGGAAGGAAGGAAGGAAGGAAGGAAGGAAGGAAGACCAATTCTCCCCCACCAACATGCTGCCAATCCAAATATTGGATTCCAACACCCATCACCCAATATCTGAATTCCAGCACCCATCAGCTGCAGCCAATATGGCCCATGCTTAGGGCTGAAAGGAATTGTAATCCAGCTATATCTTGAGGGCACCAGGTTGGCTACCCTTGTTGTATAATATAAATGCATCTTATGGCCTGACGGTGAGAGGAGAACAAAGTGGATAGGGGGCACTGTATTTTCACACACACACACACACACACAAAATGCACACTTGGAACCCAAAATACTTACCACGTCATGGACATGAGAGCAACAGGAAGCAAAAGCCACCAGTAATATTCTCCCTTGTCGGAAAACACAGCCATGAGCATTCCTACCAGCACGCCATTGTAGCCGTAGAGTCCCGCAGCAATGGCTGACCTGCGTGAGGAGCAAAAGAGGTCGGAAATGCTTATAACTGTATCCTCATCCGCAGTCGCTGCTGAAGCTGAGGGTCTGAGGAGCAGTCTTGATGACTGCAGAAGATATTTGCCTCTGCCCCAGGCTGTGACCAAGAGTGATAACGGACAATGACTGCCCTTGCCTAATGGTTGAGGGTCTCTGTGGTTAGCTGGCAAGGAAGGGATGATTCCTGACCACATCCCCTGAAATATACTCGGAGTTGAGTGTTGATTTCATGCTCTTTATTTCAGCTCATGGTAAACAGTGAGTGAGTGTGTTTTCCCTCAAAACCTCTGGCTATATATACATTATTTGAACAATGTGTGATTGGCTGATTCAACTCCCCTCCTGGAGCCTGATTGGTCTGCTCCTGCAGGCCAATCAGGTTGCTGATTCACTTCCTCCTGGAGCCAGATTGGGCGGCTGCTGCAGACCAATCAGGTTGCTGCCTTCTAGGACCCTACCTGCCTATTGTTCTAGAATCCAAGCTCAGTAAAAAGGTAAAGGGACCCCTGACCATTAGGTGCAGTCATGGCCGACTCTGGGGTTGTGGCGCTCATCTCACTTTATTGGCTGAGGGAGCCGGCGTACAGCTTCCAGGTCATGTGGCCAGCATGACTAAGCCACTTCTGGCGAACCAGAGCAGCACACAGAAACACCGTTTACCTTCCTGCCGAAGCGGTACCTATTTATCTACTTGTATTTTGACGTGCTTTCGAACTGCTAGGTTGGCAGGACCAAGCTCAGTACATAACATTTATTATTCCCCTCTGTTGAACAGTATAATTCTGCTCACAGAACTTCAGCTTTCTGTGTCCAAAATTTCAGTCTAATGTATTGCAGAACATAGGATATTTGTGGAGTTGTCAATAAGCCCAGTCGCCTAATAATAATAATAATAATAATATTAATAATAATATTAAATTTCTATATCGCCCTTCATCAGAGGATCACAGGACTGTTTACAACATAAAAACATAAAACACACACACACATACACACACAAAAACACACCATAATAACAAATAAAAACAAAAACACCCCCAGTTTAAGAGGCCACAGATTATTTAATTGGCCAAAGGCTTGGGAGAAGAGGAATGTTTTTGCCTGGTGCCTAAAGATATGTATATATATGTATATGTAAAACAAGAAAAGAGAAGTGATTTGAGTCATGAAAGAATAATTCAGGGGCAAACCTACCTCTCTTGGCACAGGATCAGTGCTGTTAATGTTGAGACAATGACTCCAGTGCAACATGTCAGTGTGATCCAAGGGCTCTGGACGAGGAATCCAGCTAACATGAGCAGACCACTCAGCGGGTTGCTGACAAACATCACCTGAGAGATGCCACGCAGGACCCAGTCGACAAACTGAAACACCAGAGGCTTATCTGAAAGAGAATGTCCCCATTGGGCCAAAGATTTTGGGTATAATATACAGTTAAAAGACTGTGGAAAACTGTGGAAGGAAGGATTGAAATTTACTGCATGCAATGCTTTGAAAGAAAATGTGATGAAAATGATGTATAGGTGGTATATCACCCCTGTGAAATTAGCTAAAATGTATAAAACAAGTAATAAATGTTGGAAATGTAAAGACAAGGAAGGAACTTTCTATCACATGTGGTGGGAATGTAAAAAAGTGAAAAACTTCTGGGAAATGATATATAATGAGATGAAAAAAATGTTGAAATATACATGTATTAAGAAACCAGAAGCATTTTTACTCAGCATTGTAGGAGATGATATTAACAGACAGGATTGTAAGTTGTTTTTATATGCAGTGATGGCAGCAAGAATATTATTGGCACGAAAATGGAAGCAAGAAGAACTACCGATGAAAGAAGAGTGGTGGAAGAAATGGATGGACTATGCAGAATTGGATAAATTAACAGGAAGGATTTGAAACCTGCGGGACCAGAGATTCTTAGAAGACTGGAGTAAATATATGAACTATTTGAAAAGCAATTGTAATGAACAGATTACACTAGTAGGACTGCAAGAAGTTCTGTAAGGAGGACTATTTGAAATATTGCAAGAAAAACTATGAGAATTATTAATGATAATTAAGAGTAATAGAGAAATTAAGAAATGCATAGTGATAAAGAATGGAAAATCATCAGAGGTGTTGACGGAAGTCTAAAATATTGTATAAGATAAGAAGTTATGTTAAATGAATGTTGGAAATGATATGTAAAAAAACCAATAAAAATGTATATATATATATAAAAGAGAATGTCGTCATTGGAGCAGCTAAGTGCAAAAAAACAGATGGTGCCTGAAAACATGACTAAAGGCTCACACATCTAGATGACGAGGGAGGGGTCCAAAGGGAGAGGCAGAAGAAGATAAGAAGAGCCTTTGCTGGATCAGGCCAAGGACCCATCTAGTCCAGCCTCTTGTTCTCACAGTGGCCTGCCAGATGCTTCTTAAACAGGGCCCTGTCCGTGCAGAAGGTCCCATCATTCATTCCCCATCATCCTCCTATGTGGGTCAGGAGAGAACGCTGCCCAAAATCCTGGAGAGCAACTGCTGCCAGTCATTGTAAAAAGGTAAAGGACCCCTGGACGCTTAAGTCCGGTCAAAGGTGACTATGGGGTTGCGGCACTCATCTCGCTTTCAGACCGAGGGAGCTGGGGTTTGTCCACAGACAGCTTTCCGGGTCATGTGGCCAGCATGACTAAACCGCTTCTGGAGCAATGGAACACCGTGACGGAAACCAGAGCACACGGAAATGCCGTTTATCTTCCCGCCGCAGTGGTACCTATTTATCTACTTGTACTGGTGTGCTTTCAAACTGCTAGGTTGGCAGGAGCTGGGACAAAGCAACGGGAGCTCACCCTGTTGCGGGGATTCAAACCGCCAACCTTCTGATCAGCAAGCCCAAGTGGCTCAGTGGTTTAGACCACAGGCCACCCACAATTCTGAGCTAGATGAACCCACAGTTTGATCTATGTTTCCACGGGACATTTTATTAGATGCACTCACTGGATCCTGAATACTTAGCAAGCATTGGGCAAGTATTTAAACACTCACTGACCATGCACTTTCAAAATGCACATAGAGGCAGATTTGGGGGCACAAATTGTCACATTTTAGCTCACTCCAGTAGGTCTTAGTTACCGTTGTTTGAAAGTTTATGGTCTGGGACAGTTTCCAACGTGCATATTCTCAGCAGCATCTGGTAGGGCCCTTACCACTGACAGAGTTGTAAAATATGACACACGTTTATTACTGTTTATAAAAAAATAAAATAAACCACACCATTTTGCAGTTGGGGAGCTGACTGAACTGCTGGCAGAGTTCATACTGAAGATAAAAAAACAACAGTTTATTTATGTTGCTTACATCTAAAATGGCAGATGGCGTGAGTGTGTCCCTGCCAGCTTGTGCTGGGATTGTATAACTTAAAACTTCGTGTTGGAATGTGGGCAAGATAAACCGATGGTCTGGGAGCAGGGTGGCGGAGTGGATCTCAAACATAGGAAGCTTAGGAATAAAAGTATCGTGATATATTCCTGGGGTAAAAGAGAGGACAGGACCAGACCTTGCAGGACAGGCTCCAGGATTTTGAGAGGCCCTCAGTGCGGAGTGACCAGGGACGTTTTGAACCTGAGGCTCCTGGCCGCTGAGCTCTGCTGCCTTGCTTCCTGTTCCCACCCACTGCTTCCTCTGCAAAACTAGTAAACTGAGCTCCGTGGTTTGATGGAGCCACCTAGACTGCAACAGTGGGCTAGAATGGACCATTTGTCTAATCCAGCAGGCACCCTCCATATTATGCTCTTCTTGGACTCAGGAAATGTGTCCTGAGCCCCAGTGGTGGTTAAGAAAGCCCAACAGAGACTCCATCTCCTCAGAGTATTGCGGAAGAGTGATGTCAATCAATATTTGATGATCTCCTTCTACTGGTCAACAATAGAAAGTGTCCTTTCACACTGCATCACAATGTGGTATGCTGGTTTGACATCAACTGATAGGAAGTGCCTACAGAGGGTGGTGAATACAGCACAAGATATTATGGGCTGTCCTGTGAATCTGCTGGATGAAATAGCGGAAGAAAGTTGCCTCAGGAGTGTGAGGAAAATTCTCAGGGATGATTCACACCCTGGCCGGCACTTTCTTGATCTCCTGCCCTCGGGCAGAAGATATAGAAGCATGATTAGTCGCACCAACAGGGTAAAGAACAGCTTCTATCTGTGGGCTGTTAGGCTGCTGAATGAAAAGATAACAACAGGGCAACTGACTTTCGGGTTTGGTGGGTGTGCGTCAGTAAATGTGGGGAATTAAGACTAAGAGAGCTGAGTGGCGGGTGCTCGTGTAATCTCACTGTATACAAGTTGTACAAGTGACAATAAAGTATTTCACTAATGAAAGTTGTAGTCCATCATCACCTAGAAGACAACAGGCTCCCCAGGATTGTGCTGTTGGTACAGGAGAAGCTTTGAAGATGAGCAGGCACTCAAGCAAAGGTCTCCAGGTTCAAAAGCAATATTGCATCATTCTGGTTCTCATCAGTGCATCATCTGCTATGTGCTTACCTTTCAGCCAGTCTCCCAACGCCTTCATGTCCCCCGTGATGTAGCTCAGGGCTCTGCAGATTTTCCCCGTCTGGGGTTGCATTTTGCTAGACTTTTCTCCGGCATCTTCCATTTCCATTACGGTGTTCAGACCCTGCTGGGAACAAAAGCGACAATACATAGGACCTCACACTGTGATCATGAATATCTCCCAAGTTGATGTGCTCCTCCTGTCAGAAGTCCAGGTTCCCAGAAGCATGGCTAATTAAAAAGGAGGATTTGTTGCAAAAAAAACCCAAACAAACAGATAGCTCTGAACGACTCTAACAAAGCTTCTGACCGATATCGTTACTCAAGATGACCCTTCTAAAGAGTCCTTTCGGGATTTACAAAAGATATTGAACTTACGACTTTTACGTCTCTTGTTTTGCTTCCGGTCTAACAACCCTCCCATTTGCCGGCTTTTGGGACTGATTGGCTTGCTCCAACCTCTTCCTGTTCCAACAAACAATCTCCTTGCCTGTTTGCGCCTAACCGATCTTCCAGAGAGCTTTGGCTGTGCTCCAGCCTGCTCTCAGTCATTCCCTTTGCAACTGGCATTCCAGTGCCCATGGGAGTTGCACTGACCACTGTTCAGCCTGCTGCAGATCTAACTCTCTCTGTTCTGCAGCAGGCTGTGGAGTTTCACTAGCAGCTGGCTCATTCCTGACACCTCCTTTTCCATGTTAGGACTAGAAGCAATTCAGAGAAAAGCCGGCCGGGGAGAAGCAGCTGGTCCAAAGGTACTCCAGTGAAATCCACAGGGACAGCCAACATCATGCCCTCCCAAGTCCCGTCAGCCTCAGCCAGCAAGACCAATGACCAGCAATGACAGGAGTCGTGGTCCAACTAATTCTGCCGGAACATGAAAAACAAAAGGGGTTCAGGAATAATCAGATCCACCCAGTAGGCCTTCCACCAAGCTGACCTCTGATGCTGTAGATGCTGGCCATGTCCAGAGTATGCCTACCTGGCCTTGCAGCCTCTCCAGTAGTGGCATGCTTTGAGAGGGGTCGTGGGCATAAACTGGGCAGCGCTGGCTCTTAAATTCAGAGTCATAAGGCTTGTGTCCATCTGGGGATGTGTTTGTTGGGACTAGAATGGCGGAGTGCCCGGAAATGTCGGCGAGAGAACATCCATCCATTTCTCCCTAGCATGGCATGTGTGATAAAGGGCAGGGAGAAGGAAGTCAGTAAATGAACCCATTCTCTGCCTTGGCAAGAAGTTTATTGTTTTATAGGTGCCTGGTCGGGTGCCCTCATACTGCTCTTGTTTGATCATATCTCTCGTGACTACTGTGCTGGTCTTCGTTGAATGAGACGCACAATGCAGGTGGAATGTCATCTTTTGTTGGTCTCGCTCCGCAAGTGGAGGTTTTGCATTTCCAACACAGCTGCTGAAAGGCTCTCTGCTGTAGTGGTTGGTGGGACAACGGTGCTTACCTGACTTCCCGGCAGCAGAGTCCCTGCTGCTTTTTGGGAGGGAGAGTGGAAGGAGCAAGGCAGCAGGGAGGTCAGTGCTGTGCAATTGTGCAGGCAGAGTGTTCCTGCTGGTGCGTTTCCACAGCATCAATGTCACCGCCACCTGCCCCTTCTCACTTCCCTTTGGTAAGCAGCAGAGACTCCACTGCCAGGAGGTTAGGTAAGTGCTGTCATCCTACCCCACCATTCGCTACTGGTTCTCCAGAATTTTTGTGTACGGAGCCCCCGGTCGTTTGATGGACTATTGATCCGTACACCACTAATCTGCTGCCACCAACCAGGTTCTTCCCGGTAAAACACTTAGTCTTAGTCGGGTTCTCAAGTTAACAACGAAGATTGTAGTTTATTGCAAACACAACTACAGTGCTACCTCGGGTTGCATACACTTCAGGTTACAGACGATTCAGGTTACAGACTCCGCTAACCCAGAAATAGTACCTCAGGTTAAGAACAATTTCAGGTTAAGAACAGACCTCTGGAACAAATTAAGTACTTAACCTGAGGTACCACTGTAAAATTAAAATGCATTCAAAATGCTGTTACCCTTTACCCTCTTAGTCTTATTTTATCCTGTCTCTAACTCACTCTAACTCTTCTACCTCCCTTCACACAAGAACCAACTGCACTTTCTTATTCTCACAAATGTTCTTAGGGGGAAATGCCTTCACAGAAAATCCAGCACTTCTCTTTCTGTTCCCTGAAAAGCAGAAATGATCAGAGGGAAACCCAACATGTGCAGAGTGCCTTTCCCCCAAGCCTTGAACAGAAACTAGTAACCACTTGCAGAGTCAAGACAGAGGACTGAGAACGTGCTTTTGGAAAGAACGTGGTGTACAGATCGCCCTTTGCAGTTTACCTAGGTATTCTTTGCTGCTAAGGTTAGGAGTACATTTTCACCTGGGTAAGGGAACTTTCTTTCTTTGCCTGCGATGTGTGTTGACTGACTCAACGGAGCTGTTTGGTTTACCCAAGAGCAAAGTTTACATTTGTTCGCTCCTCTTTTCTCTTTTTGGCACACTGGTATTTTGAACTGTGCCCCGCTCCCACCAAGGCTCTCAGGTCCCCTCACCCCCTTAAGTGCCCACAGGACTGAAATGTTGGAAAGGCTCCAGGGGGAACAAAGGGGTTACTACAGCGCAGAGCTATAGCAACTCTCTAGAAGCCTGTAGCTTTATTATTGCACTGGTTCTGACAGATTGACAAAAAGCAATAAAAAGAAAAATGTTTCACATGCAGTTGTAAAGATATGGCGAAATAATATTATGCAGGAGGAAAGTCCTTGCTACTTCTCAGATCACAGGCCTGATTCTGACAGGATCTCCTCAGTTTGAGCACAGAATTGTAAATTGAACCCAATCCCCCCGATGCAAGGCAGAATCACCCCCAGATTATCTCGCTCATCAGGCCACACAGTTAGGAGTCACAGGCAGCAGTTACGAGTTACCAGCCTCTAAAGCCACAGGAGGTGCTGTGATTCTCCAATGGTTTGACTTCACCCTGAGAGGTGCACTCCATTGTCTCTCAAGACAGACGGAAGCCAACAACTTGGGAGTGGGGGCTGAAGTACATTCTGAAGGTGGGAGTGCAAAATTCAGCAATGTTTCCCTTGACTTATTGGGCTAGCAACCCCCTATTCTGTTATTATATTATATTATATTATATTATATTATATTATATTATATTATTATTTACACCCTGCTTTTCAGACACACAGCAACATAAAATCTCAAGGCTTAAAAACAACAACGCAGAACAAGAACCAAATGGAGGGGTGCCTATTTCTTCTCCCGGAAGGTTGCTTTGAATTGCAGTGTAACATCAATCCTGGAGTACTAAAAACATTGTCAAGAAGCTGTGTGTGTTGGGTGTGTGTGTCTTGTTGTTTCATTTTGTGTTCCAGCCTTCAAAATTCACCTTGAGCCCAAGCAATGAGCGGGAAATGCCTAATTTGCTTCCCAAATCTGAAATTTCATTTCCAAGTGAGATGGTTAGTGAGAGTTGGGTTTTATAACCCGTTATGGAAGTGAGAGCTGGACCATAAAGAAGGCTGATCACCGAAGAATGGATGCTTTTGAACTATGGTGCAGGAGGAGACTCTTGAGAGAAGACTCTTGAGAGACTCTTGAGAGCCTGGAGAAGAGGAGGTTAAGGGGTGATATGATAGCCATGTTCAAATATATAAAAGGATGTCACATAGAGGAGGGAGAAAGGTTGTTTTCTGCTGCTCCAGAGAAGCGGACACGGAGCAATGGATTCAAACTACAAGAAAGAAGATTCCACCTAAACATTAGGAAGAACTTCCTGACAGTAAGAGCTGTTTGACAGTGGAATTTGCTGCCAAGGACTGTGGTGGAGTGTCCTTCTTTGGAGGTCTTTAAGCAGAGGCTTGACAACCATATGTCAGGAGTGCTCTGATGGTGTTTCTTGCTTGGCAGGGGGTTGGACTCGATGGCCCTTGTGGTCTCTTCCAACTCTATGATTCTATGATTCTATGAGTCCCATGGACTGCAAGAAGATCAAACCTATCTATTCTGAAGGAAATCAGCCCTGAGTGCTCACTGGAAGGACAGATCGTGAAGCTGAGACTCCAATACTTTGGCCACCTCATGAGAAGAGAAGACTCCCTGGAAAAGACCCTGATGTTGGGAAAGATGGAGGGCACAAGGAGAAGGGGACGACAGAGGACGAGATGGTTGGACAGTGTTCTCGAAGCTACCAGCATGTGTTTGACCAAACTGCAGGAGGCAGTGGAAGACAGGAGTGCCTGGCGTGCTCTGGTCCATGGGGTCACGAAGAGTCGGACACGACTAAACGACTAAACAACAACAACAAATCTAGGGTTGTGGAGAAGTGACAACCAAGTTTGGTAATACAGGGCCAGCTGTACTATTAGGCAGACTGAGGAAGCTGATTTTGGGTGTTATGAAAAGGCCACAAATTCATTATGATCAGTGTTTGCATTGCCAGTGAGAGACACACTTCTGGGATCTTCTGCTTCAGCTGCCAAAATAACTCGGCCGGGGTTCATATTCTGCATCCTGGTTTGTGGGGGCTGGAGGTGGGCAGGATCCTTAAATTTCTGCACTTGATGCAGAAAAATGTCTTGATCTCACTCTGGTTTGAGTCAAGCTGCTGAACTCATCATCTACCAAGAAAGCCCATTTCTGGGAAGCAGATCTCTGAACTATCTCCATATGAATTACGTTCCTCATGGATTTGCTGCTTTTAATCTTCTAGTAGGGAGCTTTTTAAGTAGCTAGATGCCCAGAGGGCACAAACCAACACCAGTTTGCTGATATCCATTAAACATCTATCCCACTAGCCCAAGAAATTTGACAATTAGTTCCACACCTCTTGACAAGTCAATAATCCGTTTCTGCTACTAGGATGAACCTCCCAATTTTGTCAGCACGAATGTCTTCGAAACAAGCAAACTGCCCATCGGTAAGGATTAAGCATGAATAAAAAGCACAAGGCGGTTCAGCTTCCAGAGACTCGTCTTAATTTCAAAGTACTGTACTTGCTGTCTGTTCCTGCCTCTTATCTCTTCCTGCTGGTTGTAGTTTGTCGGGGACGCTTTTAACAGACAGCAAGAAGCCAGATAAGCAAGATGCGCAGAGTCAGCCAGAACATGTTTACTCAGAAATAGATCCCACTGAGCTCAATGGGCGTTTACTCCCAAGTCAGTGTGCCTAGGATTGCAGTCACAGTCAGTCTGATGGTGGGACACCATAAAGCAACAAAAACACCTGCCACAAGTGGTTGTTGTAGAATTAGGACTGGTTTACAGTGCAAGCCTATATGCATATCCTTGAGTTTTACGCAGAGTAGACGCATTGAAATGAGTGGAGCTAACTTCATTATGTTCATTCAATTCAACGAGTGCTCTGAGTAAAGTTTGCAACCAATTGAATTTAATGGGCCTTACTCCTAGGTAAGGATGTGTGAATCTTTCAGTTCTGGTTTCTCATTTTTCCAACCTTGCATCCAGTTCTCCACATTTTCATGGCAATTCATAATTTTTTAAAAAAAAGTTCTCATGAAAATTCATTAGCGCTTCTGTTCAGATTTCTGCATGCACATTTTTTTGCTGGCTGCTTCCCTTATAGTACACTTTTTCACAAAGCAATTTCCCCATATGCAATGCATTATTGCATGCTATTTTCATTAATCAATGCCTGATTAGGCAGACCTTGCCCTAGCACATGCATTGGGTAAACGCTGCATTGCAAAATTCAGAGAAGGGCAGCTCTTGAAGGACAGCTACGTTTTGCTTCGCCCCTTGTTTCGAAAAAGTGCAAAGCATATTGAATTTCACCACAATCTCTACTGCCAAGTAAGTGGGCATATAGGGTTGCAGCCTGAGCCTGCCCTGGCGCATCTTAACTCATGTGTCCCACTGAATGACTGCCTAACTATGCGCATCCTTAGGAGTTGCGCAGTTGCATTCTAGCTCAATTTATTTCCTTCTGGATTGTTGAAAAAGGAAAAAAAACCTTTTCCAGCAAGGTGTGTAGAATCAGATACTTCAGAGAGCCCCAAACCAGGAACGTGCACTGTTAGGGTGACAAGATGCGGGGGAAAACGGGGGGGGGGGATTACTACAGCAAACATATACCTGTTGAAATCCCCCCTTTGGAATCCAACTGCTAAAAAGTGCAAGGATCTTATTCTCTTCTGCATCTGACCAGGCCAGGCACCCTAGAATTCCCACACTGCCTTAAACAAGCAAAGAAGTCATCTCATCTTACCTTGAGCAGCTGCCTGGCCAGGAAGCCTCCTTCTCTGCCAAGTTTTATCGCTTTGCAGAGAGCGTGCAGAGACAGCGATAGTGGGAGGGTGCCTGCATTGCATTGCTTTATATAGCCCACAGCAACTCCAAGCACACCATAAGTCATCCTGGCAGCCTTTCTCCTCCCATTCCACACATACACCTGGCTCTCTCCCAGGTGGTCTTAGGAGGAGAGTTTTTTGCCTTCTTCCCCTCCTCTTGGTGCTTTGACCAAGTCGCTTGGAACGACAAAGCATGCATGCCATTTTCTTCTTGATGTTTCCTTGCTCTCCCCTGTCTTTCCCCCCTCTGTGCACCTACTTTTCTCTCCAGCAAAGGAAGATTCAAACACAAACACTCTCTCTCTCTCTCTCTCTCAGAGCTAAGTACATGTTTTCTTTCAGGGAGGGCTTAAAACTGTGCCTGGATCGCACCTGCTAGATTTCTTTGAGTGGAAGGAACAAAATTTGCCGTACCACATAATGGGGGAGAGACCAAGGAGGGTGGTCAGCCCTTTAATATTACAGTGGTACCTCAGGTTACAGACGCTTCAGGTTACAGACTCCGCTAACCCAGAAATAGTACCTTGGGTTAAGAACTTTGCTTCAGGATGAGAACAGAAATAGCGCGGCAGCAGCGGCAGCAGCTAATGGGAGGCCCCATTAGCTAAAGTGGTACCTCAGGCTAAGAACAGTTTCAGCTTAAGAACGGACCTCCAGAACGAATTAAGTTCTTAACCCAAGGTACCACTGTATTTGAAACTCCTGCTCTGGAAGGTAGGACTCGAACCAATGGCTTCAAGTCACAAGAAAGAGATTCTGACTACAGATCAGGAGAAACTTTCTGACTGTAAGACCTGTTTGACAATGGAACGGTCTCCCTCTGAAGGTTGTGGACTCTTCATCCTTGGAGGTTTCTAAGCAGAGTCTGGATGGCCATCTGCCATGGATGCTTGAGCTGAGATTCCTGCATTGCAGGGGTTGGACTAGATGAACCTTGGTGTCCCTTCTACGATTCTACAATTTATCAAAAGCTTCACAAACAAAGCATTGTCTTCCAAGACATGTGCATGTACAGATGTTAAGTCTTGCCTGGCGCCACAGTGGGGAAACTGTGGCTCTCTGGTTGTGGCTGAAGTACGGTTCCCCTCACCCCTGGCTACTGGCCATGCTGGCCGGGGCCAATGGGAGTTGTAGGTCATTGGCGTTTGCAGGACTGCAGGATATGCATTCCTGCTATATAGCCCATTGGGGGCAGACTGCTGGTCTTCCACCAGGCAGCATTTCCTTTGTAGATTTTGGTCCCAATACGACTTCCTGTGCTCTCATCTTTTGGGTGTGTTCCACTATGGCAGGGGTCAGCAAACTTTTTCAGCAGGGGGCCAGTCCACTGTCCCTCAGACCTTGTGGGGGGCCGGACTATATTTTGGAAAAAAAATATGAACGAATTCCTATGCCCCACAAATAACCCAGAGATGCATTTTCAATAAAAGCACACATTCTACTCATATAAAAAAACCCTGATTCCCACACCGTCCGCGGGCCGGATTTAGAAGGTGATTGGGTTGGATCCGGCCCATGGGCCTTAGTTTGCCTTCCCATGCACTATGGTGCCAAGTATAAGGTTACCAGATTTTTTTCAATGAATCTGGGGACACTTTTCAACTTCAATGGATTTTGTATGGGGACTGATTTGTAAATCCAGGGACTGTCCCCTAACCCCAGGAAACAGGGACATCTGGTAACTTTGGCCAAGTAGACCAACGAGGCATGTTATGTCACAGAACATTGGCATTACCCTGGAGAGCTTGTTAACCCTCTTTACGGCAGACAGTAAATTCTTTCGTCTCCCCAGCTCTGTATTTCTCGCTGTCCTTTCCTGTAAAACTTCCTTTTCTGTAAAACAAATGACCTATATTTGACGCAGGGAGGCCTACCATGGGGAGAGGCAATGCTGATGGGATTGCCGGCGACCGTTTTGTGCGAGTCCAATTGACGCACGATGGTGGATATGTGGGTTCTTTTGGAGCTGGAAGAGGACAGAATGGGGGTGGAATGGGAAGGGTGGGGTTATGTGCGCTCCGCCGATGCATGTGGGGGCAGGAAATGGACCCCCGCATGCAAAATGATCTCCACCAGTAGAATATACCCTAAAGTTTTCAGCTCTTTCAAAGTTGGGGTTCCCCTGTAGCCCAAACCTGAATTTAGGGACCCTGTTTCTTAATTTTTCCAAACCATACATTTGTTTGGCAGCAAGACTGCTCTTGTTATTCACCTATGGTCAGGCTGTAGCCCAATATTGGGTCCTGACCCAGAACTTCAAGACCGATGCTTTAATACAGGAGTGAGGAACTTTTGGCTCTCCAAATGTTGCTGAACTGCAACTCCCATCAGCCTCAGCAACCATGACCAGGGACCAGGAATGATGGAAGTTGCAGTTCAGCAATATTTGGAGGGCCAAAGGTTCGCCACTCCTGCTCTTATGAACCTACTCATTTATGCCTTGGATCAAAGGAACTTCAAGGGATAGCGCAGTCAGTAGAACATGAGACTCTTAATCTCAGGTTTGTGGGTTCAAGTCCCAAATTGGGCGAAGGATTCCAACCTTGCAGGGGGTTGGGCCAGAAGACCCTCATGGTCCCCTTCAACTTTACAATCCTATGATTTGATGATTCAAAGGAAGAGTTCAGCAAATACAAGAATTACAATTCTTCAAGAACTCAGTTGCCCTCACGTGTGGATTCTGGGACACAAGTGACTCCTGAAATAGCTCATATCATATATGTCCAAGGACAGAATGTTTTAATAGAATGTTTTGATTTGCTGTTCACAAGGGCATGAATAAAAAATTTACAGACGGCAATGAAACTAAGCAAACAATAACATTAGCATATTTGAACGTGTTGAGGGACAATAAAACCTTAATCAGTCTCCATATCAATATCCGTGAAGCTGACCTCCGCGCCAGCGAAGCCATTTCACAACGAAGCTGAACGCTCAGAGGTGCGGGACAGGCAAAAGAAAATACTTCTGCAGACAACAAATAAAGAAATTTATGAAATTTGGTACCACAAGAAATGGTGACGGCCTCCAGCTTGGATGGCTTTGGAAGAGGATTAGACAGATTCATAGAGAAGACTGCCAGTGCCTACCAGCCACAACAGATATGTTCTAAGTTCCCCTGTTAGAGGCAGTATGCCTTTGAGTACTGCTTGCTGGGAATCGCAGGTGGGGAAAAGCGCTGTTGACCTCAGGTCCCGCTTGCTGGCTTTTCAGAGGCACCTGGTTGGCTGCTATGAGAATAGAATGCTGGTCTAGATAGGTCTTTCCAGCAGGGTAAGCAAGATGATCAAGCCTTATGAGGAGTGGTTGAAGTAGGACCCTGGAAGACATTTGCCCGACTGGCATGTTCTCTCCCTCCTGGTCTGGGAGCTTCAAAAGCTTCCTTCATCCCGAACATCACAGCGACCGATGCCAGCCAACATCGGCACACTTAGGGAGCCGCAGAGTTTGCACAGCTTGCATAACAGAACCCCAGCGACTCAGCATTTTGGCTAATCTGCTTTATTTACATATAAATTCACACAGAGCACTGCAACATGCCTCCCTCTCTCTCTAGCATCAGACAGCAAAGAACAAAGGACAATAGTCCCACTTCACGGAACACAGTAACACAAACATCCTGTCTCCGTCACTTCCCACTCTGTGGAGTCAAAACATATACCGTCATGTGATAGACAACAATCCCATGACTGAAATCATGGAGCAGGAATTCTAACATGTTTAGCCTGGAAAAGAGGAGACTGAGAGGAGATACAAGAGTCATCTTCAAATATCTTAAGGGCTGCCTCATGGAAGAGGGAACGAGCTTGTTTTCTTCTGCTCTGGAGGGTAGGACCTGAACCAATGGCTTCAAGTTACAAGAAATGAGATTCCATTTTAACATCAGGAAGAACTTTCTGACAGTCAGAGCTGTTCGACAATAGAATGGTCTGCCTTGAGAGGCAGTGGACTCTCCTTCCTTGGAGTTTTTAAAGCAGAGGTTGGATGGCCATCTGCCATGGATGCTTTAGCTGAGATTCCTGCATTGCAAGGGGTTGGACTAGATGACCCTTGGGGTCCCTTTCAACTCTACAATTTTATGAATCTGTGTCCTTGCACATTACAGTCGTACCTCTGCTTATGTATCCCTCTGGGATGCACCCGACCACAAGATGCACCTAGTTTTTAGAGGAGGAAAACAAGAAAAGCCAGCAAGAGCCGCAGACACGCTCGCTAGGCACAGCTCTTTAAAGATAGAGCGGCTCTTGCTGGCTTTTCTGGGAGGTGGGAGAAGGGACTGATGGGCTACCCTCCATCCCTTCTCCCACCTCCCTGAAAAGCCAGACCAAGCTGCGCAGCTACCGCTGAAGCCAGCACAGCAAGAGGGAGAGCTGCACAGCGCCTCTTGTTTTGCTGTCTTCCCAGCGATGCAGGATGAGGGAAGGAAAGGGGCTCCGTAAGGGCTCCCTTCCGTTCCTCCCCCCGCTTCACTGGGAAGCCAGCAGAACAAGAGGCACTGCACAGCTTTTGCTCTTGCTCTGCTGGTTTCAGCGAGAGCTGTGCGGCCTGCATTCTCTCCATAAGACGCACATACATATTTCCCCTTACTTTTTAGGAGGAAAAAAGCGTGTCTTATGGAGCGAAAAATACAGTACTTCCGGATTTTGCCCCGTGCGCATGTGCAGAAGCACTCTGCACTTTGTGTGTGTGTGTGCAGAAGTGCTCCATCGCGCCACGTGTGTGCACAGAAAGGCGCCTCTAGTTATGAGGTTTTCGGGATGTGGCCGGGCCTCTGGAACAGATGCCATTCGTACCCGGAGGTACCACTGTATGTGGCAATGAACCCAGATGTACTATCAAGCATGTATAATCCAACAAGGAACTACAGCTTGCCCCGGTTCCCTAATAAATGTATTTGTAAAATACACATTATTATTATTATTATTATTATTATTATTATTATTGCTGCCTGTCCTTCACTCTAAGGTTCCAGTAAGGGCTGCAACGGTGGTGGACCTTAAGGTCTCAAATTTCAGCCACTTCCCCAGCAGGAACCTACATCTCCAAGCCAACATTTCAATGGCGGCAACATGGATGGAGGAACTTGCTTTAGAATGGAGGAACTTGACCTAGAAGCCTGTCCCTTTAAGATCTTCAATCTCTCCACAGGGGTGGTGGGGTGGTGGAGTTCAGCAAAGGAATGGAGCCTGGGAGGGTGATTTGATGCAGGGAACAGTAAAACATTCAGTTCCCTCTTGGACATCATTGGAGCCAATTTCTCACACAGAACTAATATTGCTTGATGATGGATTGTGGGCTCACCATCAAGGCCAGACCTACTTTTGTTATGGAATTGATTTGAGAGAGCCTCCCAATTAAACAGGAATTCAGGAGCAGGGGACTTCCTGGCAGTGACACCCCCAAACCATAAAGGGATTGGACGGTGGAAGTCCTCATCCGTAAATTGGTGTAATTGGAGTGAAAGTACCATAGTTCCAAACTTGAACACGTGGACTTTCTCATTTTAGAAACTAATCATGAGTCCCATCAAGCCAGATGGCTCTGTGGCTGCAGATTAATTAACATGGAGCACAATGGTGTTATTGTTTTTGTGTGTGTCCTCTGAATGTTCCCTTGATCACATTATAGGTTGATCGCTCACTACTCAGAAATTCCCCAATACCTTGAAATCTGCAGCTGTATTGGAAACCAAGGTAGCTGCTACTCCTTTCCCTCTTTCCCTTCCCACCCCAGTCTTTTTGACTGCGCCCATCACACCGGAAAATCAGGTGGTGGAAGGAGAAGGATGTAGGGTTGGAATTTGCAGAAGCAAGATGTAAAGATAGAAGGGGAATCTTTGGGTTGTTAGCCGGTAGTCCCTCTTGCACTGAATTGCATCATGTTGTTCCAGTCTGGCCCTACCATGGGGCAGAGTGAGGTGGCTGCCTTAGGTTGCACAAGCTCTAGGGCAGGCAGTGGTGATTAGATGGAGGACAGAGCTCTGTATACCATACTGTGGCCTGCCTGAAAACCCTGAAAGCTAGTCGGTTGCTCTTGGGTCCAGCGGGGGTCAAAATAAGATTCAACTGCTAGTAGATTTTGTATGTGAAATTTTGTGTGTGTGCGTGCGTGTGTGTGTGATCTTTTTTCCTTGGGTACCAAAATCTCTTGGGTTGGCTTTGCTTGTGAAAATAATAACTCAATTGCTCCACGCCCGTCATTCTGCCCAGACACTGAGATCCAGCTCCGAGGGCCTTCTGGCGGTTCCCTCCCTGTGAGAAGCCAAGCTACAGGCAACCAGGCAGAGGGCCTTCTTGATAGTGGAGCCCGCCCTGTGGAACACCCTCCCATCAGATGTCAAAGAGATAAACAACTATCTGACCTTTGGAAGACATCTAAAGGCAGCCCTGTTTAGGGAAGTTTTTAATGACTGATGTTTTAATGTATTTTTTAATCTTTGTTGGAAGCTGCCCAGAGTGAAATAAATCATCATCATCATCATCATCACCACCATCATCTTTATTTCATGGATCAAACCTATCCATTCTTAAGGAAATCAGCCCTGAGTGCTCACTGGAAGGACAGATTGTGAAGCTGAGGCTCCAAGACTTTGGCCATCTCATGAGAAGAGAAGACTCCCTGGAAAAGACCCTGATGCTGGGAAAGATGGAGGGCACAAGGAGAAGGGGACGACAGAGGATGAGATGGTTGGACAGTGTTCTCGAAGATACCAGCATGAGTTTGACCAAACTGCGGGAGGCAGGGGAAGACAGGAGTGCCTGGTGTGCGCTGGTCAATGGGGTCACGAAGAGTTGGACACAACTAAACAACTAAACAACAACAACAACAACAAATTTCATGGACTGGTTGGATGCAGAGGAATGGTGGGAGGAACCAGCTGGAGAACCCCAAAGGAAAGAAGGCTCAGAACCTGGGGAGTGGTGGTGGGACAACAATGGGTGGTCAGAGGGAGAAGACTGGGAGGAGGTGTGGTGGTGGAAACTGAAGAGGTAACAGGGTTTAGTGAGCAGGGAGAGTCTGTGGCAGAGAGAAGTCCAGAAGCAGAAGCAGAAGCAGAAGCAGATGCAGGAGAGGAGATTTTTTAAAATGGCCAATGAAGGGATTATATAGCAGTACAGTGGTGCCCCGCAAGACGAATGCCTCGCAAGACGAAAAACTTGCTAGACGAAAGGGTTTTGCGTTTTTTGAGTCGTTCCGCAAGACAAATTTCCCTATGGGCTTGCTTCGCAAGACGAAACGTCTTGCGAGTTCTTGCAAGTTTGTTTCCTTTTTCTTAAAGCCGCTAAGCCGCTAAGCTGTTAATAGCCGCTAAGCCGCTAAGCCGCTAATAGCTGCTAAGCCGCTAAGCCGCTAATAGCCGTGCTTCGCAAGACGAAAAAACCGCAAGACGAAGAGACTCGCGGAACGGATTAATTTCGTCTTGCGAGGCACCACTGTAGGGATTTCTGTAACAATGGCCAAGCCATTTGTGAACCAGAGCCCTGCTGGTTTAAACTCAGACAAGGGAGCTCCTTTGTAGCAAAAGATACAATTAAACACTCACTAGCAGGGTTCGAGTAAGCACTTACAATTCAGAAAATAAGTATAAAAGTGCAGATGTAATAATTGAGATGATAATGATGAGTAAGACGTGATTTGGAAAATATGATATAAGATCTGGTATGCAATACTATTTAATTAAAGATTACAAAATTAAGGTAGAACAAAATAGGCAGGAGAAGTAATTATTTAAAGATCCAGAAGAGGAAGTTGAGGGAGGTCATGGGCATAGCTGTCAACTTTTCCCTTTTCTTGCGAGGAATCCTATTTGGAATAAGGGAATTTCCCTTAAAAAAAGGGAAAAGTTGTCAGCTATGGTCATGGGAGAGGGGGTGGAGGGAGACTGGGATTTACATATTCCTTTTGTGATAATGATGATTATGTTGAATACAAAACTGCAAAATGTAATAAAAATTAGTTATATTAAAAAAGCTGCAATTAAACAGCAGGTAAAAAGAGTGTTCATGTCATTTGGACATCTGATTGCAGCTCATGATTTCAATGCCAAAGGACAGATCACCCAGATTTATGAAATATTAACAGAATTAGATACATGCAATCTAACAGGATTTCAGAAAAGGATTTTGGTTTTGATGTTGTTGTTGTTTAGTCATTTAGTCGTATCCGACTCTTCATGACCCCATGGACCAGAGCACGCCAGGCACTTCTGTCTTCCACTGCCTCCCGCAGTTTGGTCAAACTCATGCTGGTGGCTTTGAGAACACTATCCAACCATCTCATCCTCTGTCGTCCCCTTCTCCTTGTGCCCTCAATCTTTCCCAGCATCTCAGGGTTTCCCAACACTCAGGGCTGATTTCCTTAAGAATGGGTAGGTTTGATCTTCTTGTAGTCCATGGGACTCTCAAGAGTCTCCTCCAGCACCATAATTCAAAAACATCAAATCTTCGGCGATCAGCCTTCTTTATGGTCCAGCTTTCACTTCCATACGGACTCTATTAAGTAGGAAAGAATATGGAAGAAGGTGCCTATGACATCAGCCTCAGTAAAGATTCAAGAATCTACTCCTAAAATACTTTTTAAGTGGCATGGCACACTTTAAACCCAATCTGTCCCCCTCAAGTGCTGATGGTTTAAAAACACACAAAGCACTCCCAGTTATAGGTAGTTGGAATGTCACTCATTTGCAGCTTTGGGGGAGATGATGTTTCCTAGAAATTGATTTAATAGCAAAATAATAATGGACTCCAGTTCCTTTGATTACTGGGAACGGGCCGCATTAAATATGGTCTGGGTAAAGAATTGTTTTTATATTTATTGTTAGCTGCCGGGATGGTTCTCTCAAGAAAATGAAAATAAATAAGTGTTTATGGTGTAGTCAAATTTGGTGCATAGCTATCGCTCAAAATTGAACTAAGATTTGAAGGTACACTTGAAGACAGGAAAAAGATTTGTTTTCAACTAAGTGGAAACAATGTCAAAATCAATGTTTCAATTCCTTCTCTGAAATATCCTTGGGAATTTTTTTTAGCATTTCAGCTTTAGGTGAGAATATCATAAGAACTTAAGGAAAATATCCTGTCATGTAAAAATAAGACAAATCTTTTTAAAAAAATGTTACCATCCACCAACATCAATAATATACTAATAGCTTTTCTAGGGACTGTGAGTTAAATGACCCAAATTTGCAATTTGTATGTGTGTATGTTTAACTTCTATTTCCATTCAATTGAATTGTCTTCCTTTATTCTTGTATGATTTTGAAATATGTGTTTTTGATTAAGTAAATAAAATTACCCCCCGCCCAGCTTTCTGGTGTATGATCTTATGTATGATCAGAAGAAAGACGCACAGAATTAAATTGGGATATTTACTCCCTGTTTACTCTTGAGTTCAAGATTGCTGAAGACTTTGTCTCTGGCTCCATCTGGTGGTTGAAGGGAAACTCACAAGCCATAGTAGCAAATCTTTTTCCACCTGATGC